TACCAATATACAGTGTTGATGGTGTAAATTAGGAGGGGTCAGTTTGCTTTACTTGATCGAGCCCAAAATAATGAATATAATCGAATGGGTCTAGCTAATGTTGAAATGGCTATAGGTGAGAGAATACATTTAACTCGGTTGTTAATATTACTTAGAATACATTAGTACAACCTCATTTCTCTCTAAGAGGGTCTGCATTGGTGTTTACATTTTATAGGGGAGGGAAACGGACTATTACAAACTATTGCATGTACTCATCCCTTTGTCATGTCTATTGTAGCCATGCCGGAAGAACTCAACTACTCCGAGTCAACTGTAGTCATGTCTCTACCGTTCGCATGGTTCACCAATCTATGCGCGACTCCGACGCGAAATGAGTATCGCGGGTCCTGTAATCATGTTCTTAACCGTTTGTCACTTGTCACCTGCCCTTGTTAGTTGCACAAGACCTTCTGCCTGGTCGATGCAGTTGGGGTCATGTCGCTCCTTGCCAATCGATAGCCAAATCTCTATCGAGCCAATCAGCTACCAGCTACCCCTCTGACCGCCCCCATGAATGGTCCTTTCTAGAAAGACCCTTCCTAGCTAGTCGGTCGTCTTTCATTGTCGCAACTAGACCTGTGCAAACAAGGGTCGGCCCGTCTGGCCCGCCCAGCCCGTCCTTTAAAATGGGTGGATATGGACAATATTTAATACCCACATGGGCGGGCCGGCCCAAGCCCGAATTGTATTTGGACGGATCTGGAAGTTACTTTTAGCCCATCCGGGCCAACATGCATGCCCATATTCATTAAATACATTTACTTTATTATTAATTACCTAGACAATATAAATTTTAAAATTTTCTTTAATTCATGTATAATAGTTCATATCACTCACCCCTCTTAAACAAAAATCAATAGTCTTTTAATGAATCTGTATGATGGATTTATTAATTATGTAAGAATATTTCTATTATGTTTTCTATGTAAATATGGCGAGTGGTAATTTTATTTTAAACATTTGAAAACGAGTTCAATATTTTCTTTTTGATTTTTTTGTGTAAAAAAGATTTTCTTGATGTTTTATCCGGGCCGGGCGGTCCGGTGGGCAGTTCAGCCCGCTAAGGTGGGCGGGTATGGGTAGAGAGTTTAGCCCATCAAATCCGGGCCGGGCCAAGCCCGCATATGTAAATGGGCTAATAATTTGTATCAGGCCCGGCCCAGATCCTTATTTGCACAGGTCTAGTCGCAACACACTTGCCTCCCGTAGCATGATCAAATGCCAATCCGGTCAGTCATGGGTTTACATCCTTCAATTTTAAAGAAAATCATTAATATTTTGTTTACTATTTTTGATAAAAATCATAAAGTTTTAATATTATAAATGTTATTTACTTCCTCCGTCACAAAAAGAATGTCATGGTTCAATATTCAAAAATCACGAAACATTTGTTTATTTATATGTTTTCATTGATTATTTGATAAAATAAAATATTCTTGTCACTTCTTATTTTAAAAAAACTTTTGACATAATTTTTAAATATGTAAATGTTATTTTTTATTTCTATATCAATATTTAAATAAAAAACTTTAAAAAATTGAAATTTCACAAAATATCTTCAGACCATAAAATGGCAAAAAGAAGGTATATTGCTAAAGCACACTCTAACACCTTAATTCGTATAACCTGGAATTATAGGAATTAAGGTGAAACGGGAGCTATATTTTTCAAATATTTTTCAAATCATTAATTAAAATTCATAAAGTAAGACTTCAAAATACAACATATTGAATTCAGATCGGTCCTTTACAAAATGACAAAGATAGCGGAAGACTTAAACAATACAAATACAATGTTGCGGGTCACTCCGGGCTTGTCCGTTTGACTCTAGAGTGGTTCACATACATAATCTGTGCTTCAACCTACATGTAGACAAAAAGACTACACGCTCAGCATATAGGGTCCGTGACGAGCCCTATAAATGGACGTGAATGTTATCAACCTTCCAATTTCAAAATAGCTTCTTGAGTTGGAAATCTTCTTCGAAATAGGTTGCAGAGGTTTATAGGGCTCGTCACGGACCCAACGAATAATGGATTGAATGGGACGGTACGAGAATGGAGACGGAAGTTATCAACCTCACGTTTTCCATCACCACTGGTCCAGTTTTGGTAGAACGGTCGTATCTCCTTTGTTACTCGTCCGATTGACAAACCGTCTACGGATGTCATTTAGAGACTTGTAGGGCTACAACTTTCACGAAGAAACCATGACCAAATAACTAACTTAAGAGTGTCAAAATCTAGCACAAATTGCACTGAGAGGATTTTGCTGTAAAAAAATCAACACCATCTTCTCCCCCTTCCCTTTCTGGCGACATTCCTCCTTCTAGTGAGCCTTCCGATATGATTATGTCTCTGTGCTCTAGGTAGATGAGAGAGAGATGGAGAGTTTAGGTGATGATGAAAGCAGGAGAGAGATGGAAGTGGGATGGTTCTTGGTGATACAAACCATGAACGAGAGTGGGAAGGGGTGATACATTGTTATAAAGGGGAAAGGGAGCACCAAAGGTTACATGGAAAATGAATGCGGTGTGTGAACGATGTGGGAAATGTGGGGTGACAAAAATTAGCCTACTCCATAATTAAATAACGGACCTGAACGGTACGTGCTTTTTCTCCAAAAAAGCTTCGAATTGAAAATCGATTGAACTTTTGGAAATCGATAGTCAAAACTAAATTTATGATGCCTTCAAAAATATTTTCTCAAAACTTTGTTTTCCAACCACTGGATCCGTCTCAATGATTAATTAATTTCTTTAATCAATTAATATTGAGAAACCTGTTATTGAAAACATCTTTTTATATTAAAAATAGATTAACTTTTGAAATCAATTTAAAAAGATCAAAACCTCATTATTTATTATTTAAAATAATATGGTCTTAATAAAAAACATTTATTTATTTATTTATTTAAAATACTGGCTTAACTGTTAGGACAACTTATAGGGCGTTACACACACAACAAAAAGCTAAGCAATAAAATTCATAGATTAATTATTGTTACAATTATATTACGAATCATTGCCTTATCAAACAAAGACCAAAATCTGCTAACCCTACCCTAATATTGTTTAAACCCAATTTGAATTGGAATCGCCATTCACAGTCCAATATTAACACTGAAAGAACAGATGATGGTGGTTAATTACCGTATTGCGCATCAAAATTGGGTATCCAGACTCGATCGAGTTGGTCTTTATCAAAGAATGATGAGATAAAAACATAGTAGTCGGATCCATTAGAAAATGAAACAATTACGTGATTCTCGTCAATTGAGGTTGCAATCGAGGATCTGGAAAGTGGTCGGAGAGCAGGGAGACGAAGGTGAGTGCGTTGTGCGCGATCTTCTTAACAGTCGGGGAAGCTTTCAATGCAATCAAAAAAGCCTTTGAAATCCCTTAATGAAATCCGTCAATGAAAGTTAAGCGAAAGATGAATGAATTTGTGCTTATAAAATCAGTGTCCCGATTAGGCCAATAGATTCTTTTTTCCCATTGGTGTTAGGATATACTGATCTAATAGCAAGTCTATATTTTTTTTAACATTTTGGATTGAGGTTTTAAGATAAGCTGTTTAAAACAATTGATGCAATCAATCAATTGCATCAGTTGTTACAAACAACCAATTAATTCTAAAGCTTCAGTCCAAAAGTTTAAAAAATACGGGGGCTTTTGCATCGATTCTTAAAAAACAAGCGATAAAATTGATTACTTTTATTGGTCGTTCTAATAACTGATGCAATAAAACTATCAGTACTCATCGGTTGGTCGTGGATCCAGTGTTTTAGACTGTTAAACCAAGAACACAACAGAAAGCTAAGCAATAAAATTTATAGATTAATTATTATTACAACCATATTCTGAATCATTTTCTTAGCAAGCAAAAATCAATGTCTGTTAACCCTACTTTATTATGGTTTAAACCCAATTTTGAATCGTCATTCACAATCCAATATTAACATTGAATGAACAGATAATTGTGGTTAATTACCTTAATTTGCATCAAAATTGGGCATGTAGGCTCAAGTTGGTCTTTACCAACGAACCAGGGGTGAAACCAATCTTGAAATTTCCCAAAAAATTGAGATTTCCGAATCAAAAAATATCAAACTAAAAAAATACCAAAACAGAATCGTACCTTACCGACTCTAATGGTCGGTCCGGTATTTGGGATCGATACGAGGTAACTTTCTATACCGAAAAATCCCAAAACCAAAAATATGTACGAATATGTTATACATTCAATACTGTTTTTAAATTTCTTCATTAAATAGTAAATTTATTTTGAAAAGATGGTTCAAGTGTAGATGAATTATAAATACTTGTTTGTCTAAATAATAATTTATTTGAATTTTACTCCTTAACTTTTTGTAGATGAACATAAATAACTTAATAAACATTTGAAATACTATTTTGTTATCATTCATTCTTTTTTGTTTGTAAAATACTACATATAAATTAAACGAAGTTTTATTAGCATTTCTTCCATTTAATTATCCTTTTTTTTATATTTTATCTTTTTATTTGAATGTACTTTCATTTTTTTTTAAAAAAAAAACTTTTGTACAATTCAATGTGTAAACTAGATACGTCTATATATAATGTCAATATTTATCGAAACCGATACTAAACCATCCCAAAGCATAGCGAATCGATACTTTGCGATTGAGGTCGGCACGATGTAAAATCTCATACCGAACCAAAATATTTGGTACGATATCGGGACGAACCAAATACGGTACCATACCGTACCACGCTCAGCCCTACTGAACGAACGATGAGATAGAAACATAGTAGTCGGATCCCTCAGAAGATGAAACAATGGTGTGGTTCTCGCTTGTAACATCCCAAAACCTGACTTAGAATTTTTTAATGAAATTATTTATAATTTAATTATGGGTCATCAATACGAAGATTTATTTTCAATTTGCATTTTTAATATGAGAGTTTATCTTACGTTGTGGAGCTCTCTGTTCTGAACCCGATCACGCAAACAAATCGTGAATCAGACTTATTGGGTCCAACATATGAGTGACGAATCAAATAATTGGACTTAAACTTATCCTAATTGGACTAGGAAGTCTAAGGGGCTGTTTGTTTCAGCCTCTTAATGGTTCAGATGTCTGAATGGTTCAGCACTTAATGGTTCAGACTGTTTGTTTCAGCCTCTTAATGGTTCAGATGTCTGAATGGTTAAGAGATTTGCCTCTGAATGGTTAAGTATTATACAGAGTCTGAATGGTTAAGACCTCTTATCTGAATTGATCAGACATTTGCCTCTGAATAGTTAAGCAATATACTAGCTCTTAATGGTTCAGACCTCTTACTGGTTCAGCACTTAATGGTTCAGACCTCTTACCCATTCAGAATTTTTGCCAAACAGGACCCTAATATAATAACGCGAGGGAAAGGTAGCGTGCGCTCNCTGTTTGTTTCAGCCTCTTAATGGTTCAGATGTCTGAATGGTTAAGAGATTTGCCTCTGAATGGTTAAGTATTATACAGAGTCTGAATGGTTAAGACCTCTTATCTGAATTGATCAGACATTTGCCTCTGAATAGTTAAGCAATATACTAGCTCTTAATGGTTCAGACCTCTTACTGGTTCAGCACTTAATGGTTCAGACCTCTTACCCATTCAGAATTTTTGCCAAACAGGACCCTAATATAATAACGCGAGGGAAAGGTAGCGTGCGCTCTTCCTCGCTTCAATCTTCCGCCGTTTCAGCGACGTCAACCGTCGACCTCCGTCGCCAGGGAAGCATCACCGCCTGATACCGTCCATCTCACTCACTCTCTTTCCCGCCGGCGTGGGCGAGCCACTCCGACGAAGGAGCAGCGGCGACCCCCTCTCCTCCAATTCAAGTTCTAATTTCTTCTATTTTCGAGGTGAGCTGTGGTTTTTATATCTTCCATTAGAGTAAATTCACAGATTAGAACCTCCTTAGCATATATATTCTTGCGATTGATTGAGAATTGGGTTGTTTGTGTTTGAACTTGTGAAATTGGTGTTTGGGGATTTTTTTTCCGTCACTTTCTCTGGCGACGGCAGCGGCGAATTGGCCTGGGGCTGGGCAGCGGGTTGGATTGGATTAATTGGATTCAATTGGCACCAATTGGGTCCAGTCGGGTCCAAATGGGTCCAATCGGATTCGATTGGGATATTTGCATTCAATGGGGTACAATTGGGTGTAATCGGGTCTGTTTGGATTCAAACTGTTGCAATTGGGTCTGTTTGGGGTTGTTTGGGTGGCCCAGGAATACCAAACAGGGCTGTTTGGTTGGGCTCTAGGTCCGGGCCGCCGGGTCGGCTACCGGCAGGAGTGCCGGGGTGGGTCCGGCGACAATGGAGACTGCTCCGGTGGGGCAGCGGGCACGTGGATCAATTCCTCGGTCCTGATTTTGCACAGGTAAGTTGGGTTATGTATTTGGGCTGTTTGATTGTCATGACGGTAATTGCGGGCCTTCGGTCCCGATAGGCCGCTACTTGTTATGTTTGTTATTACGGGATTGAGAATTGAATTAAATTAATCTTATTGGTGACTATTGAGAATTATGTTAATGTCGGAGAATAGGCACTTAGCATAATTAGGCGGACTTGATTGATTTGATCGCCAATAGGATATGGTTAGAAAGTGGGTCATTGCGGGGCGTCGTCGCACACCCGGTGGTCTTGGGTTAAAAACGTAGGTACGGGAGTCCTTGAACTGTCTTGGCATCGCAGACTCGCCCAGAGTGAATCTCCTTTGGGTTTTCTAGAGCTGGCTCTTTTATAGCATCGCTTGGGGTGCCACGACTCTTAGGTATATGAATTGCCTTAGCCATCATAGGTTAGGAGATGTGATTTGGATAAATGAATATGAATATCGTAAAATATTTTGAATTTTAAATATTACTATACCTGTATGCATGATGTGTTAAAATATATGTTGATGTGGTACTGCTCTATGGGTTAATACTAGCGTTAGGTATATTCTCACTCAGCTTTCAGCTGAACGTGTAGTCGTTGTTGTTTTTACTGCACGCGGGTAGGAACCCAGGATTGGATGAACAACCCGGAGGGCAGTGATGCGTCATGGCATGGATGGCTTAAGTGTTTACTTAATCCTTTGAATTACATTATTTAATTATTTGGTCTTTTCGAATGTTACGTTTGGTTTTAGCTTCCGCAAAGTTTTGGGTTAACTTTCTTACTTCAATGAACTTTTGGATATTCCAAAATTATTATGAGTGGATGTTTATTTTAATTTAGATGCATTTAAGTAAATCATGCATGTGAATACCGAATTAGTGAAAACCCGATTCGCTAACTCGTTGGTTCGGGTTACGCGGGTTAGGTGTGGAGGTTGCAATCAGGATCTAGAAAGTGATAGGAGAGCACAGAGGAGAGTAGAGAGACGATGGCGAGAGCGTTGCGAGCGATCTCCTTGACGATCGGGAAAGCCGTCAATTCAATTGAAAAAGTCGTCAATATGAAATCCCTCAATGAAATCCGTCGATGAAAGTTAAGCGAAAGACGAATGAATGTTTGGTTATAAAAGTAGCGTTACAGTTAGGCCAGCGGATCCATTTTTTGCATCGGTGTTTGGATAAATCGATCAAATAACCAGCATGTATTTTTTTTCAAAAATTTTGGACTAAGTTTTAGCATAAGGTGTTACAACTTATGAAATCGATCAATTGCATCGGTTTCTCAAACAACCGATGCTAAAGCTTCAATCCAAAAATAAAAAAACATGGGGATTTTGCATTGGTTCTTAAAAATTAAGCAATGTAGTTGACTAATTGCATCGGTTATTCTAATAACTGCAATAAAACTGTCATTGCTCATCGGTTGTTAGTGGATCTAGTGTTTTAGCCCGTCAATCCAAGGAAGCGGCATATGAGCTTGAACAGGAGCAAACTCGTGAAGGAGGTTGAGATGTTGATGGCACCAAGCACATTAAGGAGGTGAAACACCCAAGCTCGCTTGCGGAAGTAGTTTTGCTGTTTTGGCTCCTAAAGGGTTGACCTTTTAGATGTGCGTAAATTATACCGATCTCAATGCAGCCTACCCAATGGATCCCTTTCCATTGTTGAATACTGACTAAATGGTAGATAAGACGACGAGGGTGTGTAATCATGTTGTTTGTGGACGTGTTTTACAGGTACCACCAAATATTTGCGCACAAAAATGATACCGAGAAAACTATATTTCCTTTAATTTGTCCTAATTTTTTAAACATCCAACCCCCTTTTCAACCCAAAAAAAAAACAAGTTCTTAGATATGAATTCTACTCTCATTATTAAAAAAAAGGTTCTCTCTAATCTCTCAGTTGATCCCGCTCGTCACTCTCAAAGTCGTAAACGGACACTGGACGCTGTCAGCCGCAACCCCAGTTTCCACCACGTCGGACAAGGCATCGCCAATTGCTTCACCCATTGGTCCATCCCTTATGGTATTTCTTTTATTTTTTTAATAAATTAAATTTTTTGCTTTTCTGCCTAACAATTAGTTTATATTATTTGTTCTATTTTAGAATGAAACTAGTCAAATCGGGTAAACCTTAATAATCAACTACCGCTAATAACTTTATTACAATAGATTACATGTTCATACATTTTCAACCTATTAAAGCATAGAGTTATTGTCTCGATCAAGGTTCAAACTTTTGACATCATAATGAAATTATTTTTATACTAATATTTACTCCGTATTAAAATTTTTGTTTAATTTAGCAAAACGGCGTCGTCTTTGGATTAACTAAAACGCATATCAGCAGTCAGCGGTTCTCACCCAAATGTCCCAATTCCCAATTTTTGGTTTTCAATCCTAGCCTGCCGCCCGCGATTGTCTGCGACTCTAGCCGTTGCCACGACTTCAGTGTCTCGTTGCCGACCCCCCCTCATTGTCTCCAGCTCCCCGTGTCCGTGCCTTCGTCTTATCTCGCCGCAGAACGCCCAACGGTAATTTTTTTTTTTGAAAAATAATTTTTATGGTAGTATCAAGTTTGATATTAATTATATATGATTTGTAATGTAATAGTTTTAAAATTTATACTTTTATTCACTACTCATTCATTAAAGCTTTTCCTTCTCTGAAAAATTGATTAAAGATTTCAAGTGATAAGTATCAATGTTCAATTTCTGTCTAAATTGAGTAATTAACATTAAATTTTTTTATTCATAGAATTCAAAATGCAAAGGTATTTCAATGATTTAGAGAGTATTCTTGAGCTCTAAAATTTACTTTTTTTGGCTTTGAGGTGTGATGGAGTAAAGCAAAATGGATCTCTAAACTTCTGCAATTAATGAAGTAGCAGTTAGTCAATCAATTCAACATTCAATGCTGAGCTGGGGTCTCTTTGGAAATAGCCTCTCTACTTTCGAGTAGGGGTGAGGTCTGCGTACACACACCTTCCCCAGACCCTACTCTTGTGGGATTTAATTGGGTTGTTGTTGTTGTTGTCTTGAGCTCTCAATGAAAATGGTGTCCACTAAAAAGTCTCTTACATATGGTTTCATATATACTCTCATAAAGTTGCCATTGATACTCTTGTTGCAATAGCAAGTGTGAACACTCTTTTTCCGGAATGAAGTTCGTGAAGAATGAGTTGCGCAGTAAAATTTGTGATCAATGGTTGAATAATTGCTTATGGGGGCGGACCCAGAATATTTGAACCATGGGGTTGCATCTTTGAAAATTTGTATCCAACTGTTTCAATTCGGCGATTTTTTCCCAAACTCTCTTCCCAATCTTCATTTTTGCCCCAGCCGCCTCTGTTGCCGACTTCGGACGGTTGGAGCTCCGCTGCCTAGATCCGGTGACACAACATTGACACCCCCAATTACTCAATCAGATCTTCATCTCCTATTGCCACTTTGCTAGGATTTTTTTCTTGACATAATTTAATCTAAACTAGATATTTCTTTTTATATTTGTGAATTGTGAATAGTATAATTTATTCTTATGAATTTGTTATTGTGAATAGGGAATTGAATTTGTTTATTTATTTTGTAAGATTGTGATCAATGGTTGAATGATTGCTTTATTTGCTTAGTAACTTATGTTGAGAAAGATGTCGAGATGTCTTTTCTACCATTAGTGATGATGTAATTATAGTTCACTTTATTTTCTTAACTTTATTACTACGTATTACTTATGGTACTATCCAAATATTAATTTTAGTTTATTGTTAAACGTTATGACTTCTGAAGTTGTTTGAGACGGGACTTGGATGTAAGGGATCCAATGGTTGTTAAATCCTGGATCCTACATATAGATAGGATATATATTGATGTATATAGATGTATATGCAAGTGAGTGAAAACTGATATTCTACATAGAAATTGGACAAATAAAATCGTAAAACTGAAGCAAGTATTGTAAGAGAATTTACAAAAGTATACCTTGAAGTTGAAGACGTGAAGGAAGGTTTACTTTTAACCATATTAACATCAAATTTTAGTTTTATCCATTCTTCAAAACCTTTTTAAATAAACTGTCTCTTTGAGTTCACTTTTCTAGTCTTCACTTTAATCAATTTAGTGTTATGCAATTTTAATGCCTCTTATGGCTTTTCTTGTTAATAGCACAAATAGTTAGGAACTTGTAACTGATATTCGTCTAACGCTAGAGTCTCTCGACAGAGAGAAGTGTTGTGGAAGGAAAAATCAAATTAATATTACTATGATCATTATCAGTGTTATTTTTTTTCTACTTTCTAAAAACTCTTTTTTAAGAAATGAGTTTAAAATGACAAATAAATAGTTCAAATGAGCTTGTCGCTCATTCATGTCCGGAATGTATGTACCTCATTGCTAGGATATTTTAGACAATTAATGATGATTTCTTTATTGAATATGGAGAGTGGAAAACTAATTCGGGACAAACAGAAACAAAAAATTGGGCATCTAAATCCAGAATGAGGGAGTATATTTTAATAGGTTAGAAATACTCTAATACTAGCAAAATAGAGGAAGTCCATTCATTAATAATATCATAAATAGTTTGGACAAATAATCCTAAGTGTAATGGTATAGCCTGCACCCCATCCTTCTCCTCTTAGGGCGAGAAGTCTCGGTTCTTTACCCAATCATGAATCACCCATAGCTTGTATTCTTCTTTTTCTTCTCCACCACATCCGTAACAATAACATTCACAACTTATTCTGTTGCTGATTTCCTGATTAGTTGAATTGATTCTTGATTTTTTTATTTTATCAGTGTGTAGGGCTGTAGCATTGAAATGGATGCAGTTAAACAAGAGAAAGTACGAACGTATGAGGAATTTGTGGATAAACGTTTAAAACCAGATCTTGTCCGTGCTATTGGTGAGCGGTATGCTACAAGTATATCCTCTGTGTTATCTTTCTCCAATTTGTTTTAGTCGTTTTAGGGTCTCCTTGAATGAGTGGCTTTAGAGGGGAAGAGTTTGGAGGGCTAATCTTTATTTGAGATTTTATAAAGATTTAAAAGATTAACATAAAATGTGGTCTTATATAATTTCAACCACTTTTTTCTGTTGTTTTAAGAAACATTATAAAAATCGAGACATAAGCCCTCCAAAACCCTCTATCCAAACAGGCTGAACTTCTTTTATATGTGGTCTTAACCCTCCAAAGCCCTCCAAAACCCTCTATTAAAAACGGTTAGAGTGTTACAATAATTGATGGGCCACTTCAAAGGGTCAATCCAAGAAAATTGGTTATGGAGTATTTAGGAATTATGACATAGTAGCTCCTGTAATAATGAAAGTGTAATCTATGTGAACAAGAGATCGGGGAATATTGTGTCATACAATATTTTATCTACACTCTGTTCTTGCTTACACTGGTATTTTTTATATTACAATTATATATGTATGCGTGTAATTTTGCAGGGATAAGGTTTTCGAGCAACAAAAGATATTGTATCCTTATAGTCTCGCTTGAATTGAAGTTACATATAGTCAATTCAAGTTTATCATTCTTTCACTTGCAATTTTAAGAGTAGTTATAAACTATAGCATGATATTGATCATGGTTCCTTCATCCTTGAGTGATTGGGTTTAATGTATCTGTTAAGTGCTCTTTTGCAATGTCTCCATTTTATTTTGGGTATCCTCGACTCATCTTTTGTTTGTTTAAGCTCGGATTTGAGACGAAACATTGAGAATCTTGAGAAGAATAGTGTGACAAGTCTTAGAACACTAGTCAATCTTGGTTCTGAAGTTTACATGCAAGCTGATGTGTAAGTGTTTACAATACTACACTAATTTTATTGATCAGATCTGTATATTACTGTTTTCTAGACGTGGGCGTCAACTACGGAGTGTATCCTATTTTTTGTGGATTTTATTTCTTTTTTTTGTTCACTAACAGGCCAGACACTAGACATATCTTTGTGGATGTCGGACTTGGCTTTCATGTGGAGTTTACTTGGTCTGAAGCTCTTAAGTATATTTCAGCTAGGGAGAAAAAACTGGCCGGGTGAACTTCTAATCTAACTATACTTTTGATTCTAACATTCTCTTAATCTTCATTGCATTTATGTGCATGGTTATGTTATACCTTCATTACACTCAGCCCTTGAAAGTTTTTTTTTAAAATTATTATTTGGGGATCCAGGGAAATAGAAGAATATACTCGCCTCATTGCATCAATTAAGGCTCAGATCAAAATGGTATGCGTATTTTTGCCAAGCATGTATTGTGCCTTTCAATCAATTGCCATATTTACATTATCATCAATCTTGGCAAAGGATCTATACTGCCAATTTCCTAGAGCTCGTTTGGTAGAGAATCACTGAATCTGATGGATTTATTGATATTGATTGACCTTGAAATAGCTGGATGGGCTACTTTGATTGAATCATCTCAAATGCATTTACAATGTTAAAAGAAATATATTTAAAGGATAGTGATAAGAGTGGCATTCATTTTTATTTGTCATCGAAGCTACAAGAAAAAACTTCAACATTACGTTTTTATTATCATTAGCTAATTCAATCGAGCAGGGACTTAATTATAGTGAAATTTGCACTAAATAGGACTAAAACATAATGACTTTCCTAATGTAGGACTTAAACTTTTTTATTCCCTAAATAGGACTTATTAATGACCTAGTGGAAGGAATAATGTCCAGTAATGATGGATATTTAGTTGAATAATGACTACTTGATAATGACCAAAGGTCCTACATTGGGGAAATAAAAACATATGGTCCTATATTGGGAAAGTCATTATGTTTTAGTCCTATTTAGGTAAATTTCTCTTAATTATATTTTGATATGTTTGAGGAAACACTAGGCAAACTAATTATACTATTGAAGCACATTGTGCATCTGATGAAAACATTACTTTTGATCTGTATGCAGGTTTGTGAAGGGATACGAGAGCTACTCCAGCTTCCTGCAGATAGCTTCAGAAGTGAAAGAGATCTTTAGTTATACACTGATGGCGTTGTTACGATCACCAAGTAAGATGGACTTTTTTGCACATCCGAAGTACCTTTTTTTTTTTTGTGAACAAGCTGCACGCTACTTGATTCCATATGATAGCACCATTCCTGGCATACTGTCTAAGATTACGTGAACTTCTAGTCCTAGATTATGCGAGCTGTATGATTGCCCATTGTTCGAAAGACAAGAAGCAGAGCTCCTAGATGAGTGGTTGCAGATGTTTGTGTTTGTGGCTGGGGATTTCATGTTGTTAAAAAAGGATATCATTTTCGTGCATTGTGTTAGTATCACGACCGTAACGTCCGTAAGCAAGAGACTAATTAGTAATTAAGACATTGGGAGCATTAGCCATTTTTGCATGAAGTCTTCTTTCTTTCAAACACCATTTTAGGGCCTCTAACGACTCTCCCGCACATCCCATGTTCTTAGCTCTGTGGTCCTCCTCCTCCCCCCATATCTGAAGGACCACTTGGGACTTGCGGTCGCATCCCACAAATAACATCAAATCTAACATGGCCTCATCTTGGGCCACTTGTAGGGTAACATCGTTGCATGTGATTGACTTGCGAATTTGATGATTAGTATGAATTCATGTGCTCATCAAATTGATGCTAATTATCATGGTTGTCCCCTACAATCATCTTCATAAAGAAGTTGTAAGCTAGCATTCATTGGATGATCAATCACTAATGGCTTGCTTGGTTACAATGAGAAGTATGGGTTTCTACATACAAGTTCCTGATTTTGATTATGTTCATTGAAACCAAAGATTGTATGTCCAGTAACTTTATCCTACAGTCTATATCTACCTTAAAATTGTGAGCAATTAATTTTTGGTTAGTGAACATTTAAGCCTTTTTTTATAGCAATGATTGCACACATATTGAGCACTCATTTATGTTTATTGAACACACAACTTATATACTTAGTGAGCATATAAGTTTTTGTTGTAGAATAATTGCAAAAGAGTTGTATTATAGTAGAATGATTACTCTTGAATGTCTTATTTTTATGGGTTTTAATATAGTAATTCCCCCAGCTCTTAGTACTTGTACACATTATTAATGATTTTGGTAGCATATTCTTCATGTGGAGAAAATGTCAAATAACAAAGTAACCAATAATGCTGCATAATAGAGTGGAAGGTGGCTTAGGACAAGAATGGGGGGTTGTGTGGCATAATATAATGAAAATGCATTTGCAAAACATGGATTATTGGACCATATAGTCCTGCCGGTCACCAATAACCAGTCGGTGGCGCAATATAATGTCTTTTAGTTGTACATTGGAATAAAGGAGTGCTCCCTACAAAGGTTGATTAATGGACTCCCCTCATATGAAAATAAATATCATCCACCCCATTTGCCAAAAATGACAAATTTATCCTTAAAGTGCAAAAAAAGTGGATTAACTTAAGGATAAAATTGGGCATTTGTGATAAATGGGGTGGATATAGCAAAAAGAGGTGTGGATTTAGCAACACCCATAAATAAATAATATGGTTTGCTTGAGCCAAGTTTATATTCTGTGTCTCTGGATAAATTACACGTTCGAATGCAAAATATGACTTAAACAATTTATTTTTAAGTTATGACGAGGCTTGATAGGGTGTCATGTACTCATGCACGCGGTACGGTTGAATCTGTGGGTTATTTTAATTGGTTGGGAAGAATATCTGTTAAATTATTATTAGTTGGAAATCTAAAAAATATAAACATAACCTAATAATGCATGAACTTTTAGGGAAATTAAAATTAAATGGTGAAGAATAAACAATGGGAAGCAAATATGGAAACGTACAAAAGCTATATAACATATGGCCGTCCAAAGTGGTTGGTGGTCAGGTCTTTCTTGTGCTCCAATATGACACAATGTGTGTGCTGTATGAATATATCTATATATCCACTCACTTTTGTTTTCTTCATTATTTTAGCTTAATTATTTAAGCTGCCCGAATTAGCCCCCACCCCTAACAAGTAGCGGCGGCAAAGTGTGGCGTCTTGGTGAGGTGGTTTTTTATATAATTGTATTTATTACTCCGTATTACTTAATGGAGAATCAGAGCCAAAGAAAATATTGTTTATTTTGTTTAATTCAATGTCACTAGGGGTGGACACGGGTTGATTTCAGGTTTGGAATTGTCAGTTTCAGAACCCGAGAAACCGCCACCGGAAACTGTTAGCCTTGGTCGACTAACAGCTACTGATGGTCGGCGGTACCGGTTCTGGTTCTAGACGCTTTTTAAGTTTTGTTTAGTTTAATTTTTTGTGTGGCGCACAAGGTCGACTATGTTCATGATGGGAGGCGACAACCCTCATCCCCAAGGTTGTTAATACTTCCGTCACCCCAAGTTAAACTTTTCTTTTTTTTGTTTTCAAAGTGTTTAGACAAAAATAAAATTGTTTAGTCGAAATCAATGTTGATGAATTGAAATTATTGTAGACCATTCATTTCAATTCTTAAAAAGGATGAGAATTTTATTTTGTGATAATCAAGAAAGAAAGAAAATGGAAAGTTTTTTGGGGGCGGAGAAGTTATATATACTTGATATATATATATATATATATATATATATATATTATTTTAGAACTGAAAGTTTTTTATTACTTCCTCTATTCTAGAATTATCGCTACTATTACTATTATGATATCTTGATAATTTATGTTTGTTTTAAGCCTTATTTGAACTTTGAAGTGAAATGATAACTTTACGACGAAATATGCATGAATTAATTGAAAATAAATTGTACGGTAATTATAGATGAATGATACTGGGTACGATGGAAGGTGGAATAATTGTTTTGTACCAAAACCGAACCCACAAAATGTAGAGTCGCTTAAGGCCGGTTTACTTATTCTCTCCTAATTCCCCTCTCTCTCTCTCTCTCTCTCTTATAGAAGACCACTTTTTTTCTTTGAGTTTTGCGCAATTGCCTGCCGGTTACAAACAAGCCCAATGAAAAGGTCGACCTTCAATATGGCGGCCATTCAAACCCAGATTTACTCTCAAAGTTTCGGGTTTCCCACCGGAACTCCACCGGAATACTTGGCCGTCAACCCATCGCCGTCTGCAACACAGAATCCTCCTCCTCCTCCTCAACCCTTCTCGCAGCCCTTTGCTCCCGCCGCCGAGTTCGAGAACCAAATCTCCGATTTTGATCGACTAATCTGTTTGCAGGTATATATATGTAGATAGATTAAGATGTTCATCCATTCATTCTATTCGAACTTAACCCAATTCTGTTCTTTGAAATTTAAAATAAAAAAACAGAACGAGAGATTGAGATTGGGCTTACAGAGGAAGGGGAAGCAAGAAATGGGGTTGGTGATGAGACACTGGGAGCCAAAGATTCGATTTTTACTGAAGCGAAAGGAGGCGGAAATACGGGAGGCTCTGAACAAGAACGCAGAGCTGGAAGCTCTGTTGAGAGGGGCGGGAGCGGAGAGGGAAGGGTGGAAGAGCGCGGCGATGGAGAGGGAGGCGGCGGCGGGGGCTCTGGAGGCCGAAATCAGACGGGTGCAGCAGGGAGCTGGAGAAAAGGGGGCGGCGGCGGCGGAGTCGTGGTGCGACGGCGGCGGGGAGAGGATGACGGCGGCGGTGTGCAGGAGTTGCAATAGGGAGGAATGCAGCGTGGTGTTCATGCCGTGCAGGCATTTGGGTTCGTGTAAATCATGTGAAGGGTTATTGGAATGGTGCCCTCTGTGTTGGACTGTAAAGAGAACCGCCATTGATGCTCTCCTCTCATAATTATTCCCCCATTTCTTTCTTCTTTCTCATCGTCCCTTTCCTTTTTCTTTTAAATCATTAATCCCCTGTAGTAATAGAAATCTATAGTAGTAATTAACGAGTATCACAGAACCAAGTTTTTTTCTTGGGGGAGATGAATACCATGTACAACCGATCGGAGCATATTATCATGCTTCATCACCATCATGAATTCATGATTATTACTCCGTATTATTATTATTATTACTCTTATTAGTACTATTACAACTAAAGGAGGAAGGGGCACCTACATGGGTAAGTTTTATGGCTTCCAAATCACAAAACTAATCCACCTCCACCTACGTGGGTAGGATGTCACAAGGCAAACCTTTAGGATGTACATTTTGTATCAAAATTATAACATGATAGGTAATACTCCCTCCGTCCCTAAATAAACTTCTTCTTTCGTTTTTTCTTTGTCCCCAAATAAATTTCTCTTTTCTATTAAAAACCCCTTCTACCCTTTATTGTTTCATATCTTACCTATCACATCATACCTTTTTACTAATAATCTACATATCACATCTTACTTTTACATATCACATCAAGTGTATTTTTGGAAAGTCAACACCAAAATATCCCTCTCTTAAATCCTCAAAAAGTCAAAAACGGAAGTTTATTTAGGGACGGAAGGAGTATATAATTAGTTGTATAATTTATTTTAAATTTTTAAAAAAAATTCTAGGGTACTTGTTGATAGCTAGGTGCTGCCAGTGATTTTATGGTTTGTGGGTACTTGAGGATAGAAATAAGATGACATTGCAGGATTGGCCGGTGCATGGGTAGTACCCATGAGTGCCCTCCCCCCTCTTATCAATAAGGAGTTCCCATGATATTAGCACCCTATTTCATCCTATAACATGGGTGTGCTGGGGATTCCTACAGTGCTTCGTTTAAAAAATTTATACTCCGTAGTTTTTATCTCTATAAAACTCTCCACCCATGCCTGACCAAACCCAACCCCCCACCCCTGAGAAGCTTAGGAATAGGAACCTTCAACTTTTTAAATGAAACATCGTAAGGACCCCGAGTCATGCACATCACATTGATTCCTAATGTTTTGGGAACTGGGTGTTATTAATGGCAAATTTTATGATGGATCTACATATGAGTAAAATAAGCATTTATTTACTACTTAAATAAGCATATGTTTTATTAAATAAAAAAAATAAAAAAAATAAAATTTTAATGTGAGAAGATCCACAAAAAATGATACCCCGAAGTATATACTCAAGTTGCACCAAAGAAGCACTTGTTATTAATGTTACAGAGTATATCACGATTTGGTTTCTATACAAGGTCAGTCTTGAGGGTCTGTAATATGTGCACGTACACGAGAGTTCCAAATTTATAGTGTCTGATTCTCATGGCTTTAGGAAAAATGATAGAGCCACAAACCAAATATAGTTACAAAGTTGACAAATTAAATTTAACACGGGTGAAAACAACTTTTTACTTTTAAATTACTGCGCATTTAAGATTACTTTAATTTCTTAATGATGTTCACTCTTCGATCAATGTGTAAAATCCCATAACTTCTTAGATTATTTTATTTACAAATTAGTATAGATTTAAAAATAAAATTTAAAAATTTAAAAAAATATCAAAATTTTTACAAAACAAGAAATGAAAAGAATATTTTATTCTATCAAATGATTGATGAAAACATGCAAATAAAGGAGTAATTAAAGAAAACATGATCAATGAATGAGGCAAATCTTTCTCGAACTAATTGAGTAATAAATTATTACCTATGTCCTAGTATATTTATCCAGTTTGACTCTTTTAAGTTAAACTGGACAAGTTTTGAGTTTCAATTACTCTTAATTTGTATAGCAATTAGTAAAATAAAATAAAATTTTAAAATTTCTCAACAATATAAATGTAATAAAAGTATTTTTGCACTAATATACATTTCAATTTCTATTCAACCGAAGCTCAATTTTCATCCAATTTAATTTGAAAAAGTCAAACTAGACAAATACACTATGACGGTAGACGGAAGGAATAATTTATTTTGTGACTAGCAATTTTTTTCTAAATTCAAAAGTGTGAAACGGAAGGTATGCAGTAGAGAGCTATAAAATGGAGCGTTACCCGGGTGACATTGATTTTGATATAGTCAAAAGTCGGAACACCTAACAACTTTTGTCCAGAGTTTCATGACAATTAAAGTCCCAAAAAAAAGTGTTATGATCCCACACTCCCACCGAATTCGATCAGAAGTGTTATACTAATAAATATATTTCCTACCTTCCCTTATTTTTAGTTTTAGGACAAAAGATGTGGCACAAACACTTAAAAAAAAATTGAAATTATACATACTGATTATAGTTTTAAAAGTATGAACAAAGTGTTGTTCCACGCAAATATTACTCCGTAGCAAATATTATACGAGGCGAAAAAAAGGAAGACGGGAAAAAAAAGTGAAAATAGACCAAAATAGTTGGATTGAGAGAGTAGTAATTACAAAGTAATTAGGTATTTTATAGGTCACAAAATTGATGCAAATTGTATCAGGATATGTTACACTTCTAATGTCTTTAAACTCAAAAAGAAAAGAGTAAGGAAGATTCCTCTAAGGTTAAGGGATGAAGGAGGAGAAGAAAAAACAGTCCAATCTCAAGTTAGGTGGGCTTGGGTTTAGAATCTCATCCCTCTCATAGAAGAAAGCTGGGCTGGACTCAGATCAAAACAATCTTCAGAAAAATAGGTGTTTCAGCCCATCTAGAAACCGGCCCAACCCACTTGTTAATCAAGTTAACTGGATTTTCACAGATTTCATCTCTCTCCTACCGAGGTTCTTCTAACAATGCAACCAAGGTTTGGCTTAATGTTCCCTCTATCTATTTTACTCAGTAACAAAACAGTTTGTTTATTTGATAGGGGTAATGAGGTAATTAAACTTTGCATTTATTTTCAAGTCTTCTCTGTTTCTTTTCCAAACTTACAGGTGAAAAGAACTGCTGGTGTGTGTGTGTGTGTGTGTTACTGTGCTTCATGACATTGATAAGAGAAAAAGTTCATTACTAATGGCCAAAAATAGTGTTGGAAGGAAATCAATCAATGGATCAATACAAGCTGAAGCCAAAAAATTGGGTGATAAGGATAGCAAACCCTAGAGCAATGGCTATAAGGGAAGAAGCCCATGTGAGCTTCTCGGTTATCCGAGGAACCCTCTCCTTCAGCGCTTGACTACACGAACCAATGAAGACCGTATAGCTCCCCATTGCAAACACAGTGCCAACCAAGAACATAAACAAGAACGCCGCACCAGCAACGCGAGATGGCAAAGCAAGTGCTGGCAATACCATCATAAGTGCATCTGGTTGTAGGCCGTGGATGATCCCGGTGGCAAACGTGGCAAACCCTATCTTACCCTTCCCCTCATACCCGTTTTCCAGGGTGGCGACACATGGGGTGTGGACTTCGGACGCTTCCCTAATTCCCATTGCTCCAATTAGGAGAAGGGTAAAACCGACCACTCTCGTCCCCCACGTTCGGATAATCTCAATGTGGAGTCTATCTTTTAAGAGTAGAAACAGCAAACCAAATATCAGCTGGCCTGCATCGTGCCCACAACCCCAGAGAGCTCCAACGGCAGCACTCTCCATCCTACTCCTGCCTATTGACAGTGGGGCCAAAGCAGCAAGGTGGTCCGGACCAGATAGGGTGTGTAGGCACCCGGCAAAGAAACCGGTCCACCCACTGCTCAGTAATTCATTACTAATAGCTTGACTCCACCCTGAGGCCGCAACAGAGCCCCCAGACTTTGCAGCATTTTGGAAGAACGCAAGTGCTGGAGATGCAATGAGAGGATGAATGAAGAGTACACAAATCGCTGAGAAAAGCACTATTGCACTCACTGCCTGAAACTACATTTGCAGAAAATCCTTTTAGGGAAATACGCAAGGGAGGATGTAAAACACACACTCTGCCTTGAGTACAAGGAAACTTTTGGTAGCCTAATCCAGATTATTCTCCTTATTATTTGTATACATAGCTTACTTGCTTATTTGGCTGAAGTGTATGTAACCAAAGACCTGCCCTTTCTTAAAAATTTACTAATTTAGCAGACCCAAGCAGCCATTTCAGTGAAAACATCCCTTACCAAACAGGAAATAAGAATTATTTTCTCACGACTACTCTCAGTTCAGATTCCTGCATCATCAATCATTCATATAATAACACATGCACTTCCCATTTATGAATTCTACAAGAATGTTTCTTTCCCATCTAAGCATAACCTAAAAATGGCCATTTCTCTCTAATGTATGGTTCCTGAGAAAAGATTGCTCTCACATTATTCAGATTTCAGATGTTTGACCTGCTCTCTTTCTTTCTAAGAGCGTCTCAATTTCGATTTGAAAAATCATAATTAAAAAACAAGGAGAAATATTGATTCATAACCAGAGAAGCAAATGATAATGAAATCTAGGTTAACCAAAGTTAGCACCTTCTGTTTGTCGGGTATAAGTTCGGCAGCCTGTTGGGACTCCGACCCGTGACGAAAATCGACCCGCTCAGGAACAGAATCCGGGCGAGTGTTACGAAACTCCGGCGTCACTGCCGATGAGGAGGACGCGTAACGGCAGCGGATCCAGTCGAATCGGCGCGGGTCAACACAAGTCAAGGGAGGAGAAGACGCCCGTTTAGGGTTGGCGGCTGCGGGGGCGAAGCTGAGCTGATGGCGGCGATGGAGGGGACGAAGGAAAGGCTTGCAGGGGAGCTTGGTTGAGATAGGGTTGGAACAGATAAGGCTCTCCATGGCCAGACAGAGTGGTGGTCTTCACTCTCTGTGATTCAGGTTCCGCGGAGGAGGATACCAATTGCCAAATTGGGAACGACGTCGCGTGGAGCTCCGGGGTTATGACTTATGAATATTAATACGGGTGCGATCAAAATTGTGGAAACTTGCTACTAGATCTCAACACGATTCCGGTACCGATTATAAAACCCGAATCTTACACAGTTACACGGGCCAAGACTCGAGAGTACCATATGTCCATATTGGTAGAGAGAGGAGCCAATCCAATTAATCGGATCGCTTCTGGTTTGGAATAATTTAGTTCAGATATATAATGTAATTTGTTCCGGTCGGTTCAGTTTCATATATTTTTTTGGTTCTGAGTGGATTTGGAATTGATTCGGATGTCAATTGGTTCGGATCAATTTCAGTCCGACTTCTGCCAGACGTAGCCCTCCTTAACGGTCCGGGCTACGGTGACCGTCTGGGCCGCAGAAGATGAATGGGCAGCGGTGGCAGCATCAACCGGCTTAACCTGTTTAGGTGAAGCTGGGCGCTGGCTTGACTCAGAGCTAGAAGAAGAAGACGGGGAGTCGGAGGCCTGAGACCATGTGCCAGAATCATAAGAATGAACGGAGACGTTCTGGCTATCCTCGTTCTTAGACATAATGAGAGATGGAGACGAAAAGGGGAAAAAAGAGGATTTACTTGGAGGACTGGTTAAATGCTGATTCAACCGGACAATTTTTTAAGAAGCGAATTGCAAGTGAAAAATACGGGGGGAATGGCACCTAGCGGACATTATAATTAGCAATGATGGCCTCTCAAGGATAGGAAATGACACGACAACTAGACGGCGATGTACCGGATTTTCGTAAAACTTTCCAGCCAACCATACCCGGGGAATTCAAAATTCAAAATTATTTAGACATTTGATTCTCGCCCTTGACGGTGCCCACAAAGCCGGGAAATAGAGGACTCCTTGATGGGTATAATCCACCGGTACCACCCAACAAGTTCACAAGGCGCCTGGGAGGTACCAAAGTCTGACCCTACTTGACCTCTCACTGTCCTCGGTAATCTGACCGGGTGGATGTCAGGGGTCAGACCGGTAAGATCGTGACTTGATCTGCAGAAAACTTGAAGACTGGCCGGCTTGAAAACTGGCTGGGTGGATGACTTGAGATGAATAGTAGTGTTAAACAATAAAAAGAGAAGGAAAAGAGAGGCACACAAAGAGAAGGAAGAGAAAGGTGAAATGTAGAAGAATCTAGAAAACGTGCAAGAAGGGCATAAGAGGTAGACAAAAATATACTCCGATGTATTAGACGCGTAAATAATCCTACTCCGTATTTGGGTAATAAAAAACATGAACTCCTGTTTTGGAAAATAGAATAACGGTTTAATCATATTAGGAGTGATTTCTTTATATTTAAATAAAAATGGATCTCTAAAATATCTGCGCTTCTTTAATTAATGAAGTAGTAGTTAGTCAAACACTGCAACTTTCGATGTTGAGCCGGGGGTCTCTTTGGAAACAGCCTCTCTACTTTCGAGTAGGGGCAAGGTCTGCGTACACACACCCTCCCCAGACCCTACTCTTGTGGGATTTAACTGGGTTGTTGTTATTGTTGTAATTTTTTCTAGTTTTTTCGGTTCCATACAATTTCTTTTAAACTTTCACCAATTTCTTCCAGTTTATTTATATTTCTTTCAATTTCATCAAGTCCTTCCAATTTCATTTAGTTTTTCCAACATCTAACTATTTTTCCCAGTTCTAAAAAATATGCTATCAAAAGTCATAATTTATAAATAGAAAACAAACACAACAAATTGTACTCAAATAGAAGATCAAGAACTATTTCTAAACCTAACTCCGAACTTCATAGGTCTCACTGCTCGATTCTATTTTTAACAAGTCTAAAACTATCTAGAATAAAATCTAGAATAAGAAAAGAATAAAAAAGAGTCAGAATTTTTATTTTTATTTTTTAAAAAAAAGAGGAAAATAATAATGACTCGGAGTAGAATTCTAACCATAATAGGGTTGGGCCAAAACCTCCTCCTATAAATTAACAGCCTCTTCACACGTCTCCTTATCGCCTATTATTGTTTTACCCTTCGGACGTCTCTTGATTTCCCTTCTCTCTCATAGGGTTACAGCGTTTTTCTCAGATCCGCCCGAAATCTCGACGATGTCTACCACGAAGAAGATCAACCTGAAGAGTTCCGACGGCGAGGCTTTTGAAGTCGATGAACTGGTGGCGCTCGAGTCTCAGACGATCAAGCACATGATCGAGGATGACTGTGCTGACTCTGTCATCCCTCTCCCCAACGTGAATAGCAAGATTCTGGCTAAGGTCATCGAGTACTGCAAGCGCCACGTTGAAGCTGGCAAGTCCGAAGATAAGCTCACCGACGAGGATCTCAAGACCTGGGATGCTGATTTCGTCAAAGTTGATCAGGGGACCCTCTTCGATCTCATCCTGGTTTGAATCTCTATTCGATTATTCTCACTTCAAGCGATTTTCGTTTTCGTAACTGATAAATCATTGTTCTGATTACTCTGTATTCAACTGATGATTTGATGCTAGGGTTTATATATATTTGGCATCTGTGTTTGTGTAGATCTCTTCTGATTTGCTCTGATAATAGAAATTTCAACCTATCAATATATATATTGAAGGTTTGATGATTATTTAGCCTTTGCCTTTAACTATTTGCCTTTGACGTATAATGTTGTTGCTCCAACAGGCGATCAAAGCTTGTATTTGTTTTGATTTTGTTATTTGAAGTGTAAGTTATGTTTGTGACAGGTTTGGTGTTTACCATCTACTATTACATATGGTATGTGCTTCGTTTACATTTGTCTGCTGAAAACTCAATCTCTATTAATCTATTTGAGCCATCAAACTCTTACTTATAGAGGCTCTGACTTCTGTTTTATTATATGAGGGCACTGTATTAAAATTTTATTTCTGTTTAATGTTTGATCGTCTGTCTCTGGGAATTCCTTTTTCATACGTGCTATTATTCATGATGCAATCACTTTGCTTGTGCCTAGCAGTATGAGTTTTTTGTGTTTTGCTATGTGTTAGTTTTGATGTCTTTTTTTAGTTTGCATACAGCATGCGTTGTTTACAGGTTTATGTTTATCAGTTTTATTCTGACTATATGGTAGTATGTATATTTGTTTGCTGTTGAATCATGTATGCCTCCGGCAATCACTTTTCTATTGTCGGCTACATTCCTTCACCTTGTTAGGAGGGCAATGTTTCATAGTACATTCTCTGTGTTGTGATGTGTTTATGGTCTCTCCTTTTTGTTTTAGGCTGCCAATTACCTCAACATAAAGAGCTTGCTGGACCTCACCTGTCAAACTGTTGCTGATATGATCAAGGGCAAGACACCAGAAGAGATCCGCAAAACCTTCAACATCAAGAATGACTTCACACCAGAGGAGGAAGAGGAGGTCAGGAGGGAGAATGCCTGGGCATTTGAGTGAATGGAAGATATGAAGTCCCTCATCTTTTGACGCTTGAGTGATGCTATGTTGCCTAATATCCCCTAGTACATGCTTCAAAAAACAAATCTCTTTATGGCTTAGTAGTAGTAGTAAATATGTCTATCTGGTACTCTATTTCGTTTCTGAACTTGTCATTCTGCTCTTCTCTCTAAGAAGCCGAAGTGCGGTTATCAACCTATCCTTTTACTCGTGTTATGACTTCTTGTTTCTCAATGATATTGTTTTACTGCCAGCTTCAACTATTTTCTCCATTATTTTTCCATTGCACCAAACATCATATAATCATATTAGGTGTTCATGACAGCTTCTACTATTTTCTCCATTCTTTTTCTATTGCACAAAAAATCATATCATCATATTAGGTGTTCCTGAATTTCAGTCCATAGATACATGTAATATCAACATTAACTGGTGACATTCATAATTCGTTTGAATGAATGTTTTGTCACATATACATCATTGTTCCATACATTTTCTGCTAGTTTTGTTTTGAGCAGTTAAGCTTTAGAGCTCCACTTAACGAGTCACGAGTTTAGTTGAGCTCAGGCATAGAGTTATAGAGTTCAGTTTTTGAGCATTACTTCCTTCATCCTATAATTTTTCACAATTTCATTTTGAATATTCTTCTCATTGTTTTTGCCTTTTCGTTTCATCTTAGAAGATGATAATGTGGTTGAAAATATTCTTTTAAATTAATTTTTACCATTTATTTGTATGTTATTTAACATCTTTGCAATGTCTTTTTAGGCACATTTTTAGTTTTGATAAAGTCGTAGTGAGAAATTATCTTTGAGATGGATGGAGTATGAGTAGTATGTAAGGAGTTGAGCCGAGCTTGACTATACTAAACCAAACCACTAGACTTGGCAAAACTGACCCGGACCCGATAACCCGAACTGAATAACCCGGAATCGAACCCGATTTGACCCGAAAACTGAAGAACCGAAATAGAATCGAACACCCAAAATGATCCGAACCGAACCCGAACCGAATGTATTCAGATCCGATTCAGACCCGAATCCGATTAAACCCGAACTGATTAAACCCGAACCCGGTTAAACCCGGAACCGATTAGACCCGAAATTGATCAAATTCATTCATATTTCATTTATCAAATGAATTTGGAGAAAACGAATTACCTATATATTTTTACATATGTTGATGTGTTTCTAAAAAACATATTTAAATTATGGGTGCAAACCATGTAACTACTTTCATGTACAAATCTTTTACTTTGCATTTTATAACTTAAGTTAAAAATACTTTTGTATTTTTATAGAAAGTATATAAAAATTATAGTTAACTAAATTAACTAAATTTATTATGTGATTTATTCATTTATTAGTAGGTATGTGTTTACATTATACTTGAACTAATATAAATTTAAACCGATATAAACTCAAATCTATATAAACCCAAATCAATACAACCCGAATTGATACAAACCTGAACCGATATTAACCCGAACCGATACAAACCCGAACCGATACCAACCCGAACCGATACCAACCCGAACCAATACAAACCCAAACCGAAACCGAAAACCAATCAAACCGAAATAAACCCGGAACCGAACTGACCCGAACCGAACCGACCCGAACCGATTATAACATACATCCGAAAGAGACCCGAACCAAAAAGACCCGAACCGGAACCGAACCGATTGACCCGTTTGCCAGGTCTACAAACCACCAACTAGAAACGGCGGAGTACGTTTTATAGACTGTGTTTGGTATTTTACTTTATGGAGTGTAACTTGGAACGATTGAATGTTAAGCAATAATCAAAATTTGAAGTGAATAGCAGGAAATCCTAGACATATAAAACAGCGGTGGTGGGTTGGAAAATTGATATTAACAGTTCCTAATTGCAATGCAAAACAGGTACATTGATGGGTCATAATCACAATGAATCCCCTTCCCCTTTGCACATGCCATCCTTTTTTTCGTGGTCAACAATTAAAAGTTCAAAGCTCATAATAGTCATTAGTCTTCTGTCCTAAAATATTCTTCTTGTTTGTTTATGAATTCTTTTCGTTTTGGTTTATGAGATTTAATTGATGTTATTTTTAATTTAATTTATTTGATTTTATGTGTAAAATTAAAAAATTAAAATTATATCTTTAAAAACTACAAAGTATAAAAATTCAACAAAACAAAAAGTGATATAACTATATTATTTTACTCCCTCCGTCCCGGAGTATTCGTCCACTTTTGACTTTTGGAATTGTTCATCTAAACACTTTGACTCATCAAATTCTCTCAATGTGTAAGCCTAAATATAGTCATGTGTGATCTTGTTTGATTCGTCTTAACATATAAATTATTAATATATAATTTCTATAATTTTTTAATATACATATTACAAGATAAAATGGATTAAAGAAGTATATTGGATGATGTGTAAAAATGAAAGTGGACAAATACTCTGAGACGGAGGTAGTATTAAATAATTAATGAAAATATGTAAAGAAAGTGATTAAGGTTTAACTACATGAATAGTAATTAGAAAGAAAAGTTTTAGGGCGAAAGGAGTACTTATTTTTATTATTTTTCGGGTTCAATGCGGGAGTTATAAGACCCTCCCTCTTTTAGGGCATACTTTTTTAAACCTATAATAATGGACAATTCATTTGGTGCACCTAAGGTGTTATATGTTTGGTGCACTTAAAAATCATGGAAGTAAGCATTTGCCTACTACCATGATGAGCATTTTTTGAATTTTCTTTTTAAAAACAAAAAAGAAAAAGTTATATGAGAAAGTTAACAAAAAAAGGACCTTAAATGACCCATAGTACTCCTGTTTATTTTATGTCTCGATTTTTTAACAAATGGACCAAATATGCAAGGGCCAATAACCAAATTTGCAACATCAATTACACAATATTTGCTTCATTAGAAAGATTTTACACAAACGTCAGAGATAGCAAGATGACATAAGTGAACAAAATTTGAAATACCAGTCACTATGTGCAACATGTACTACCATCAACTCCAAGACACCATTCATTCACTCATTCCCTCATCTTACATTCATGTTTATGGTACTGTACTTTGTCCAAGAGAATTTGAGCAATTTGGCCTTCTCTGGAACGGTCTCTTCCTAAATCCGTGTCGATATGATTCTGTTTAAGAAAGGGAGTTTGAAACGATCGGAACTTTTCTAGCACCAAATTAGTTACACCAACTGGTGTGTTCATGCAATGTGCTCCTTCCTTCATTAGATAAAACACAAAATTAGTATTGGCTACAACTATAAGTATACAATTATTTATTTACAAAAAATGTCGGGGAAAACCCGGCTAATTATCTAACAAACAGCTCTCTCTCTCTTTCCTCATGCATCAGGTGCTGCTCACCTACCAATATTTGGGCATAAACATGTATTTTTATATCAAGTGCCATCATATTATTAATATTTATGCTACACATGCCATATAGAGGAGAAAATCTAATAAAAATGAGATAATTAAATATATCTCCTGAATTTTGCTGTACTAATCAGACATATCCTTTTGGAACCAAAGCTGCAATCTTTAGAGACAGGTATGTTGTCATTCTTTGCTCTCCTATCTGTAATCACACACAAGCATTGCTGACAGACAGTTATTGCTTTAGTGATGTTTTCTTGTTCTGCTGACATATTACAGTTTTCTTTTTTGGGGGGTACCAAAAGGAAAAGCTGACATTCTGTTTCTGATCCTAAAAAGGTAGAAAGTGAAGTGGTAAGATGATCCTGCTGGGGCAGAATGTTGTGGATAGGCTAAGGCCCATAGTGAACTCAAACAATTGGGATTATTGTGTGTGTTGGAAGATGAGTGAGGATCAAAGGTTTCTTGAGTGGATGTGTTGCTGCTGTGCCGGTGCTGCTGATGGGGTCCATGCTTGTGAGGAAGAGCTTCTTTTCTCCGTTTCTTCGTCGGCTTCTTCCCCTTGCAGAGATGTCGTTTTCCAGCACCCCCGGACCAAGCCCTGCGATTTACTGTCACAATTGCCCACCTCAATTATTCTTGATTCTGGGTACCGTATGTCTATATATGTATATAATTGATGAAACTTGAATGAAACTTGAGGGCCAATTTGGTAGGGTTGTTTGGCTGAAATGGGGTTTCAAAAGGAAAAATGTTTTGTAACATCTATTTCAGCGAAATAAGCCAAAAGCTACCATAGTGCTTATTCTGCTGATAAGCATAATCAATCTACCAAACAGAGCCTTGCGGTTTCATTTTAAATTTTACTCATAGCATGATGATTGCAGAATGCATGCACAGTCCTTTCTGTCAAACCAAGCGAAATGGTTGAACTTCTCACAGCTCTTAGAATCGAACAATGTTTCTGGCGTAAGTGTGTGCGTGCGTGCAAGTAAAAGAATTTCATTGTTCCTGTTTCTTAGCAACCTGACTTTTTCTCTCTTTTCTGGCAGGAAATAATCGGAACCCGTGTTTTGATACCGCAACCACTTGGACTGATTGAGCTATTTACTGCAAAACTGGTGGCCGAAGACCAACAAGTCATAGACTTTGTCACAGGTCAGTGCAGCATGTACGTGGAGAATCAAGCAGCCATGATGATGAACCCGAGCAGTGGGATTCCAGCTGATAATGCTAATAATGGAGATAATGATCAAATGGATGATTCTCGCCATCTTTTCTCACCATCCTCACATCTAACTTCTCTCCCAATGAGTTTTCTCCCACACATGAGTAGTTCTAGCAAGTTAATGCCGAACACGAATGAATTGAGCGAATTCAGGATAGAGAGTGGATTGGATCATCATGAGATAGATGTGGTGATGGTGCAGAAGCAAATGATGATGGATAACAAAGATGGAAACGACGATGACTCGGTTAAGGGTTTGTGCGGCTCATCATACAATAGACAAGAGAACGGTCAATCACACTCGATATCGGATAGCGATCAGAATGATGACGAAGATGATGGAAAGTACCGGAGGAATGGGAAATCCAAAAATCTTGTGGCTGAGAGGAAGAGAAGGAAGAAACTCAACGAAAGGCTCTATGCTCTTCGTGCCTTGGTCCCAAACATTTCCAAGGTCAGATTTTTATTTCTTAATTTTGCTTTCCCCACAAGCAGGCCAACACAAGAAAAACTTTATCTATAATCATATTGACAGTTGGATAGAGCTTCCATACTTGGAGATGCTATCGAGTATGTGATGGAGTTGCAGAAAGAGGCAACAGATCTTCAGAATGAGCTGGAATTGAACTCTGACGACGATGATGAAGCAGAAACAGCAGGAGGAGGAGGGAGGAAACGTAACCATCTAAGCAGAACAGAAGACAGGATTCCCCGTGTCCCAAAATCTGAGCCAGAAAAATATTTAGTTGCAGAATCAGAAAAAACAGACGACAAAATCCAACAGATGGAGGTATAATACTCTTTTCTTGTATTCAAGAATCAAAAATTAAGCTTTGGGTTAGCCACTACTCACTGAAGAATGAACGATTGAATGCAATGCAGCCTCAGGTGGAAGTTGCACAGCTAGACGGGAGCGAGTTTCTGGTGAAGGTGTTCTGCGAACACAAGTCGGGTGGATTTGTGAGGTTGATGGAGGCACTGAACTCTCTAGGGCTGGAGGTCACAAATGTGAATACAACAAGACACACCTGTCTTGTCTCAAACATCTTCAAAGTTGAGGTACAGGCTTCACACACACACACACTTCTTCTTTTTCTTGGACATTCTAACGAACAGCTGTTATGCTGATCAAAGTTAGTCGATGCCCGAATCCCAATCCTGTTTTTGCAGAGAAGGGATTGCGAAACGGTTCAAGCTGATGATGTCCGGGAGTCGCTGCTGGAGCTGACGCGCAACCCAGCGGGGAGAGGGTGGCCGGCGGCGGAGATGGGTAGAGAAGGCTTGGAGAGCTCTGATCAGGGCGGAATGGATCACCACCAGCAGCAGCCCCGTCGCCTCAACCACCATCTTCAACTTCACGCCCACCACCTCCACCGCCTGCATAACTGAATCAATTGTGGCTTCATACCGTTTTAACAACAACAATATCAAAAGAGATTTTAAATGAACCAATTGTCCAAATTTTTTTCTTATACTCAATAAAATGTTAAGAGGTCTTTCTTTCATCATTAGGGGCTCATGCTATAATATCACATTGACTCTAATAAATGCACTTATGTTGTTTCATTCTTAAAAAATACTCTTTCTGCCCCCATAGATCTTTCCAATAGCCCTTTTTCTTTGTCGACAATAGATCTTTCTCATTTCATTTTTTAACAAGTAAAATACCACAACTACCCCCACTTACTTTATTTATTACATCTCACTCATCTCATTTAATACACTCCACTCATTTTTCATTAAGGGTATTATGGTAAACTTTCACCTTTTTTCAATTCTCCTTAAAAATCACCAAAAGTCATAATGAGAACATCTTAGTGGGACGGAGGGAGTAACTGTTTCTCAACCTTTAGTAAAAACTAATTTTGCTCTCAAATCTTGGAAAATAATAAAAATTGGATAATCAAAAACTAATTTTGCACGGTCTGGAGGTTCTAGAATTGTATTTGGATCGGACTGGTACCATGCCTATGTCTAACTAATTGCATTGCCCTTTTACATAATTTGAGGACATCATTCATAATTAATGTTGCCACTTTGAATAGTTGTTTATAATGTTAATTTTGAATGATAAAACTAAAATTACTGTTGAACAACCTTGCATAACTTTTAAACTAAACACTAAAACTTTTTCAGTTTAGAAATGAACACAATTGTTTCTAGTTCTTCAAGACCTAACAATATTTTTTATTCGGAAAATCGTGAAAGAAACGAAAATGCTAACGAAAGGAAAAGAAAATCAATGAATTGAAATTCAAAATTCTAGGTTGTTTGGTAATTGAAAAAATTGATAAAAACTATAGAGTACCTCTAAAGTTCATGAGATCTGACTGAAGTTATTTTTAATCTGAATTATTTGAAAATTGACATGAAATTAGAAAATAAAATTTATATATTTAAAAACTACAGGGTACCTCTAAAGTTCTACCCCCTCCGTCCTAAGTTAGATCACTTTTTTCAATTTACGAAGTTTGACCAAAGTTATTTTAAAATCATATTATATGAAAAATAGCAAAGAATTAAAAAATAAAAATTATTACTACATATTTTAAAACTACATTAAAATATCTACAAAACTAGTGGTGACATGATTATATTATTTTATCAAATAACTAACCAAAATTGAAAAAAAAGTTAAATAAAATTCGATCATGTGAAGAGTAAACAAAGTAATTTAATTTGGAATTGAAAGAGTACAAAACAATAGGTAACAAACTATATTATTTTCTCAAATAAATAGTAAAAATGTGTCAATAACATGACTAAAGTTTGACTCTCTGAATGACACATTCTCATGGTTAATTTAGAATGATCTATCATTAATTCAATTTGTTTTCTAGTTTTTTGTTTATGCAGGGTATTTTTTTATGTTTTCTTCCAATTTTTTCACGGGTATGGTAACCAAACACAATGAACCATAGTTTGCACTTTGCCCCCCTGGTCAAGTTACGTCGCCTTGCTCAAATTGCACGGGACTTCAATAGTCAAAAACCCTAGCTGAAACTCCCATCTTCTACACATTTTAAGAATAGAAATTTTTTTATTAGGATTATCGTTATAGGGAAAAAATGGCCGGAGGGAGGTTCAGACAACTGCTGAAGAAGTACGGAAAGGTAGCATTGGGGGTTCACGTATCTGTCTCGGCGGCTTCAATCACCGGCCTCTATGTCGCCGTCAACAACAACGTCGACGTCGAGTCCATGATCGAGAAGGTGGGGCTCTTCAAGCCCAAATATGAAGAGTCCACATCTCAAAATCCGGACCAGATCGGCGCCGACGCGGTTGCTCAGCCGAAGGCGAGGAATCGGACTGCCGAGCTGGCGGCGTCCAGCGGCGGCGCCATCGCTCTTGCTGTGCTGCTCAATAAGGCTCTGTTCCCCGTCCGTGTTCCGATTACTTTGGCTCTCACACCTCCCGTCGCCAGGTTTCTTGCAAGGCGGAACATTATCAAGAGCTCTGTATGATCTTTGTTTTTTTAAAGTTTTGTTTCAATAATCTCACGTTCTCAATGCTATCTATTTTATGGTCACACATTCAATAGCCTGTACTCATAGATGCTGCTAAGAACATAATCTGTTTTGATCATTGAAATTCCCCGTCTTAACTATTTGAGCAGTGGTTTTTAAGCAAGGAAATTGTCAAAACAATATCATTAATCAATAGTGGTAAATTTCTATTTTGGTTTTAAAAATGAGGTCTTTGTATCAAGTCCATGTTCTTAACATGACCTAAGGGAGTTGCAGGTGGAATTGCTGCAATGTCATTTTTTAGAGTGACTGATACGATTATATGATTTGGTCTAACAGCATCTATCTGCTTGTTTCGTATTCGACTTTCTAAAGCAATATAGCCTTTAGTCCCTTCAGTTCAAAATGTTGTGCTAGACCTATGCAATCCACATGAGTCATGACATGTAATTGGATTTGGATATTTGCCTCTCTCTATCTATAGGGAAGGGTCCTATACATTCCAATCTGCCCTTCATTTTGTAAGTACTAGTTCTGTCTTTTTTTTAAATGAATAATGTGGAGTAGGCCGCATAATCTTTTTTTAAAAAAAAAAGTGATAAATGAGTTAAACTTTATTGTTTTCACATCCCTATGTTTCACATTCCATCGTATGGCCATAATTTTGAGCTTCCAACTTTACACGTCGGAGTATAAAACTGTGATCTCATTGGGAGCTAAACTGATTGCAATAAACTAAACCTATTTCCAACTTTTCACGCTGGGGTATGGATCGTATGTCCATTGTTTGGATCTTCCAACATATGTAACCTTTTCTCTCATATTTCCATCTTTAGTTAGTGCCAAAATATCCGATATGAACAAAATCTGCTTAGTTTTCCATGTAGTAAATGATATCTTTTAGAGTAACCACTTCCCCAGTTTCTCATGACTTTGCTTACTCTAATCAAGTTGGCAAATAGAATGTGCCTGTGTTAAAGCGGTGTGGTTGTCGTTGTGCACTGCAGAGTGATATGCACCCAATAAGCCAATAATCTATTCCAGTTTTGTGCTTCATTTCTGCTGCTGATTCTTTAAGCAATTACTCTGTATTATATTTCTATGATTGTGTATACGGGGTAGAATTCTAACACTTGAAAAATGGACCAAAACCAAATTTATGCGGAGTATGTGTTAATGTTGGTTGATGGTGGCGGATACCAACATTTGTGGAGATTGGCGGCCATCATCGGTTTTGATGATTGTGGCTGTTGTAGTTATTGGTCATTGTGGCCAGCATTAACGGTGTTGGTGATTGCAGATATTTGGTGGGAGTGGGTAGGGCGATGGTGAAGCTGACTGATGACAATGGTCATGGTGGATTGGTGGTGATGGTAGTGAAGGGAGGCATGGGTGGTGTGGGCAAAAGGGGACAGCCTTGGCTTGGGGTTGCTATGGTAGCTCTAGACCTGTAGTATACCAGTGATGCTGGGGTGACTGCTTAACAACTACAACTACAACTACAACAAATCAAATAATATCTCAGCTCACAACATGGGGTCTAGGGTCTGTATATGCAGATTTTACTCTTATTTGGATAGTGCAAAGCATAGTTATCACGGCGTTCCCTAGGCGTCCAGGTGCCCTTCTACTCTCGCCATGAGAGCTCGCCTCGCCTTATTTTGCATACATCTCCTAGGCATCGCCTTGGCCTCGCCTATACTTGCCTTGGCGTCGCATAGTCCCGTACTTTTATTTATTTTTTTAGTCCATTGCTTTATTTTTTAACACTATGTTTGGTTCAAGGAATTTGGAAGGAAAAAAAAAAGAAAATGAAGTGGAAAACCATTTTTCTTGTTTGGTTAGAGGAGAAAAGAAAGGAAAAGTGGAAGGAAAAGAAAATGAGGAGGCAAAATGTATCAAGTAGAGGGAAAATCAAATTCCTTCCATTTTGGTGAGGAAAATGAGAGAAAACCATTTTCTTTTCCTTTCAAAATCCTTGAGCCAAATGTAGTGTAAGTGTTTTATTCCCCCCCCCACCCCCGGCTCCAGTGCTTTGTTTCTTTAATGCTATATTTATGCAAGTTAATAATTTTTTCTACTTTATCCTCCCAATTAATACTTGGTGCTAAATTTTTTAAATTTTAAATGATTACTTTATTACCAACTTAAGTCAGTAAAACTTTTTTTCAACTTTGTTTTTTTAGGAAAGTACTTAAAAGTAACTTTGGTGGTTAAACTTTGATGTATTAGAAAAATTTAAACTTTACCAACTACAATATATAATTTGATATATTTATATTAGTGTTTTTAATGTATAACAGTTCTGCTATATTATGTGTTGCCTAGGCGGTCGCCTAATCGACTAGGCATCCCGGCGGTATCCTTGTGCCGCGTATTGACTTGGTGCCGTAGACTGCCGTCATAGCTATGGTGCAAAGTTGTTTTCAGAAGCCTCTGACTCAAAACACATGAGCAAAATGGCAATGGAAAGCACATCACATACAAGAGAATCATATATACAGAAAATAAAAAGTTTGACACATTTCACACATTTAGAAGTTACTCCATCTGTCTCAGAGTATTTATCCAGTTTTAACTTTTTCTAGTCAAAATTGGTAAATTTTGACCCCAAATTAAATAAAAATAATATTAGATATTGATAGAAAAATAATTTTATTAGATTCAACATATAAAATATTTCAAAATATTATTTTATATAACTAATGTACAATATATTCCGTATATTTTATCTAATTATAGGTCAAAAGTTAAAAACGATAGTCAAAACTAGGTAAATACTCACGTGATGGAGGTAGTATTGTTTAAAAGATAAAAGCACACTTTGCAAAACTACAAACTAGGGGCTAAAGATTTACCCAACCATTAAAAAAAAAGATTCTAAACCTCAAGAGGTTCTTGTCTAAAGTTATTTCTCTAGCTCTTAGGATTATCTCTAGTCTCTACCCTTCCTCATGACCATTACGGCAAGACTCACATTTTCACTAGGTCATTCATACTTTTTCTCATGACTTATCCTCCACAAAGACCTATCTTGCCTTTTGCAGTTAACCTCACTATGGATTTTGTCCATCCTCATACAACCACACATCCACGTCAACAAATTCATCTCTTCCACTCGAAGCTGTCTAATGTGAATTTTCATCATCTCTTCCACTCTTTACTACATACTCCCCCTGTCCGTGATTATCTTCCTTTCTTCTTATTTAGGTTTCCTTAAATTTTCTTTCTTTTTCGTTTCAAGGAAATAGATATGTGGTCCATATCAATTCTCTTTTCTCTACACAAACCACAACCACCTACACTCACTTTATTAAAAATCATGCTAAATCAAACTTGGAAGATAATTCTAGGACGGAAGGAGTAGTCAATTTTACTATTGTGTAACCAAATTATCCCTTCAAGTTTTTTCAATATTCTTTAGTAAAAAAGGAAACTTAAGCTAGCTTTCCCCTTGTCAAAGTAGTTCTAATATGACAAATAATAACTGCATCCATTTCTAGATCAGCGATGGACCCAACCCAAGGCATTAAAACCTGTCTCTTTTAGTCACTGAAAGTGAATCAATTCTCACCTCCACTTCCAGTTCTGTCATTCGATCATTGAAACAACATTCCACGTACTCGGTCTTAGTTGTGGTGTTCATTTCGAAACATTTGAATTCCAAGAACTAACGAAACATGCTTCCAACCTATCATTGAATCCTATGTGTCTCCTCAATCAAAACAATGTTATCAGCAAATAAGTTTCATCGATGTACGCCGTGAATATGCCATTATTTGCATTGAGTATGGTTCAAGTTGGTGAGAACGTTTGGACCTCGATTTGTAAGGATGTTTGGTCTATCGATGAGCCGGTTGTAAATACAACATCAAGTACAACATGGCAAACAATTTAGGATTATCAATATAAGAAGGTTAAAACTCATATTTGTACTAACCTAATTTTGATTCATCCGAAAATTCAAAATCCAATGTTAATTAAATTCAAGTTTAATTTTAAAATATAAAACTAAATTCAAAATTTAAAACTAATTAACTACAAACCCAATTAAAAGCTAATTAAATCCAGAATTTAACACTAATAAAATACTAAAGTAATTGCTAGACTAATTACATTCAAAATAATTACATGCTAAACTAATTACTCTAAATTCATCAAATTCAATATGTAAACTAAATAATTATGATGTACTAAACTAATTTAATTCAAATTTAAAACTAATTAATTACCGAACTGCTTTTGAATATTATCAAAACTCAAAATTTACGAAAACATAATAAAAAATTGAATTTATTTATAATACTCCCTCCGTTCCACAAAACACTTCCTTTTTAATTTTTTGCGCAGCCCATAAAATACTTCTATCGCACCTAAAATGTCTAAAATACCTCTAAAACTTCTACCCGCAATAAACTACATAGTGGGGTATATTTTAGATATTTTAGGTGGGAGTAAAAGCGTTTAATGAGGTGCACAAAAATTTAGGGTTGAAGGGTTTTAAGGAACGAAGGGAGTAGTTCATTTCAAAAAATAAAAATTAATAAAAAATCAAAGAACTTCAAAATACTTCGAGAAATACCTCAACAAAGTAGAATTAAATGTCTTCTAGAGTTTTGCACCTCAACATCAAATTGTTGGGAAGAAATGATGTGTATTTTGAAGAGAAGAGGGCATAATGATAGATGAAAGACGGTAAGTTCAGAGAAAATAAACTAGATGAATACTTTGAGATAAAGATTGTACTGTTGGAATGCCTTTTTTTAATTATGCAAGGTTATTGAGTTGTATTGTTGTCAAAGCATGAAACAACAAATGAAATAACGCCATCATTAGCCTATGAAACTTGAAGTTTGGTCACTTATGTAATGCATTTTGGTCACCAACACACACACACACACACACCCAGTATAAGCACAAAACAGGATTGTTACTCTGAGAAACTGCTTCGTTAATCGTATGTTTTTGGAAGCGTTTGAGGTTTGACAGCATAACACTACTCAAAATGCAATTCTGTCACTTGCACATAGCAGTTGGGAGTCGTTTAGGAGTTGTGATAGAAGGTGTAATTCCATACCAACAAAATGAATTGTTCCAAAATAATTAAAAAAAAAAGAGCAAAGAAGAAGTCGAAACAACATATTCTCAGTGATAGATTAATGCTTGAATTCTCAAAAACAAGAACACTCCTTGGTCTGATGAGATATATGTATGATGGCAATAATTAAAAGCTCCAGAGGCGTTGCAGATGTTGCACTATTAAGATGCTGCAGAGAAAATTTTTTTCTTCAAAAGTCATCATCATCTTCCTCGGCAATGTGCTTGGCAAGTTCTTGCTCTTGCTGCTGTCTCTCTCTCCTCTTCTCAGCACTCTCTTTCTCCTTGTGGGAGTTGGGAGGGAAACGAAGGGCACGAACAGCCTCGTTATGCATGTTAAGGCAGAACGAAATTCTGGAGTTGAATGCATGCTGAGGCTCATTCGTGGAGTAAATGTCTCCTGTCTCCTTGGAGACCATGTGTCCATTGGTGTGATCCAATGTTGCATCAATCGCACCATCCCTGATGGCTTTAGCCACTATACTCTCGGCATCAGCAATGGGATTTTCAGAGTCCAGCCTCAGCTTCTTTGCCACATCAGCCAATGAGATTCTAGAGTATGCAATGCTGATGTTACGCAGCCCGGTACGGATGACATTGTGCCGCAGACGGACAATCAAGTTGTTAGTCCGGTCCTCGCTGAAAGTGGTTGAGAACTTCTCAGCAACTGCCCTAAACAACTCCAAATCTCCAATGCGGACAGCCTGAATAAACAGTCATTATTATCAAATGCATGTATGGAAGTATGTTAAGGCTAGGTATGATAGAGAAAGAATAGAGAGGAAGAAAATTAATTGGCGAGGAACAAAAGTTGTCACTTCATTGAGTGATGATAGAGACTATTTTTAGTCCTAGAGAGAATATTGTGAAGAAAGTTTAAAATGTATATAATTATGTTATTCACATCCAATTCTAGGTGTGGCAGAAGTCTTAAGGAGTTTCTCATGATTTCCTCTCATTGCTTTCCACTATTTACCCTCTACCAAACACACCCTTAACCCAATATAAAATACCTAGTATATAGAGGATTCTTTTAGTAAGCAGGGTGTAAGAACTAGAATTGTCCTCATTGTTGGATTACGATTCATATAAATTACAAAATGTTGGTAGTGGAGCTTAATTTGTTTAAGTCTCCAAGGCTCTACCACTAATATAATTTTTTAAAATAGTAATGTGGAGGCAACCAAGATGTCGTTTCAAATAGCATTGATTCAAGGTTTCATCCTAGTGGTTGGCATAAAACAGATAAGAGCTTGATCCACTAGTCCTTAAAACAATACAACATGCATAAATCTTTGTTTTCTAACTCGGACCACCTAAAAAGTTCAGGATAAAAGACTTCTCATATTGTGAGGTCTTGATTCATCATACTTACATTAGTTAACTCGAAATATGGCCTTAAGGCTTTCTCCATTCCTTTCTGCATGAAAACAGTCCTTTCAGGTATCTCCCCAAGCAATAAACGTACAATAACAGCCCACTTGTTGCATTGAACTCTGAAACCGAGGGCTGCCATGGGGGCTTTCCGAGCTGCTTGAAGGAGAGACTCCTTAGCATCAGTGTATTCCAACTGGATAGTCCTGATCTTTCCAAGATAGAAAAGGTATCGACAAAACTGCAAAACAAGGAGAGCCAAGATGGGCATGAGGAGAACCAAATGTGAGATAAAACAGTTTGATGAAAAAAAATGCACAATAAAGAATAAATTGAAAGTTTGTAACAAGCATGCCAATCTGAACCGTGTGACAATACTGAATGAAGAGTTAGCCCTAAACTTTAAACATTTATAGGTAATGTGAAGCCAATGTTCTACTTAAAACCAATATAAAAGTAGGGATATTGAAATCGAAGCATAACCTATGATCCTAGTTTTCATCTATGAACGTAGGAATGTGTTCAAATCCGATACATAGTCTGCTATTCCAAAATGAAGTTTCCGGGTTGGTTTACGATAATGACCAAAGTTATTGTCAATTCAATCTATATATATAAGAACTACATTAAAAGTTAAAAAAAGCGGTGACATGACTACACTATTTTATCAAATGAGTAACGGAAATATGCAAAGAAAGTGCATAAACTTTGACCGGTTGACCCTATGAATAGGGAATGAGAAATTCATTTTGGGATGGAGGGAAAATATGTTTTCAATAAGAACACGTGTACACAATGAGATGTAGAGAGTTACCTGCTGATTTGAATGAGCTTCAAATCGGGGTGCTTTTGATCTCAACTTTTCAGCTTGATCATACAGATTGTAGTGGAGGTAATTCCTCAGTAAAAGGTTAAGTATTGTTTCCTGAATTATAAACAGTGTTAAGTACAGATGAAAACTGTCACAATTTAAAATAAGATTTAGATTCCATATGTCACACCTGGCCCAGCTCATCATGACGAAGTGTTGCAATCCTATGCAAAGCAAGGAGATCACTGTTGAAAAACAAAAGGTTCTGATGTGATACTTAAATCTCCAAAAGGTATATTTATATATAAAGTCTCTAAAAACAAGATGCATAAGCCAGGATTGGCAATATGGTACCCAGAACAACTTTTCTTTTGCAAGGTGGTGGAAGGCTTTTTATTATATCCCAACTAGTCCAGAAGTAACTTTTTAATGCAATTAAGTTGACCACAAAAGGAGAGAGAACTTGCCCTCTAATGTCAGCAAGATCACCAGTAAGCTCATAGCTCAATGAGTAATAGTAGTAGAGCTTAGAAGCTAGAACATCAACAGTCCTCCTGTTTAAGGTTTTCAGACGAGCGATGCTTGCTGACGAACAAGCCTTGGCCTGAAGGTAAAAGAATACTCGGATTCAAAAAATGAGTGGTTATAGAACAAAATGCTTGAAAATAAATCATGTCTCTGTCACCCTATCATACCTCACTATACTTCTTCTGATCGATAAGAAATATTGTTACGATCAAGTAACAATAGATCTCAAGCTCTGGTACAGTGTGTTTTACAGGAGGTTGAGCTGCTGAAGTTGCAGTATCAACTTCCATATCCTGCTCCTCTTCCTAGAGAGAATAATAGAGACTTGTAAAGTAATAATGGCTTCCCATGTAGTTATTTATGTTAGGATAAAAGGCCAAACACGAGAACTAACTAATGATCACAATGTAATTGATATTCACTCATCCAACAAGCAATAGTCCAATGCTTGATATTTTAAATTTTTCATCAAGCTAAGTCAAGTGGAGAGAATATAATCAACTACCCCCACACGAGTCCTTTTTATCAACAAACTCTTCAAGTTAAAACTTAATACTAAACCCATAGTATACATGCATAAATTATCAAGCAATTCTTGATTTTACTTATTCTTCAGTAAAAATTGGGAATGGGAAATGATAACAATAAAAGCACTGGCGCTGGTTGTGCACCCGCAAGAAAGAAACCTGTCATACATGCCTAACAGACACTCCCAACTCAAGAAAGATTATCAAACGAGTTTACCTTGGGCAGGAAAGAAGATAGGCGAGCATGAGCCTCCGATCCGGGTGCAAGGGCAAAATTGAGGAAAGCAAACAGTGTAGACGCCTTAAGCTTCTTCCTCAATGCCATGGTCAACCTCACTGCCCTGACAATCCTCCTAACCTCGCGAGAATATGCTCCGGTCTCAATAAGGGATCCGATGTCCTTCAGATCTAAATTCACAGCATTTACACACAAAATTCCATTTAACTAAAACTGAAAATACGGCCTCTATAGATCAAATTGACTCTTGAAGATCAACTTACGATGGAGAACGGAGTGGCCAGCAGGCGAGGCGGAATTCGAAAGTGTATGTTGTTCCTCTTTCATCTCGACGTCTTGAGTAGCCATCTTCTCTAATTCCGGCTAAATCTGAGAAATCAAAGATGAACGGAGGCCGGCGGTGTAGCTGGTATCCTGGGAGAAGAAGGGCCGGACGCCGTTGCTTGGAGTCGTCTCGTTGCAGAAAGTAATAGGGTTTTCGTTCACAATGGCGAGATGTAGAACGCAAGAACTTTGCCTTTCAGATGTTTTAGTTGCTCTTCTCAAAATTAATCCACATTAATAAAAAGAAAAATGCTATGGGTATACCACCCCATTTGTCCCACACCCCCTCCATAACCACACAAAAAAGGAAAAAGACTAAGAAAAATTAAATAAATAAAAATAATATAAAATTGAATGGTGGAGAAAGGAGCGGGGGACAAATGGGGTACACCTTTGGTGTACCCCTAGCATTGCTCTAATAAAAAATTGGCAAGATTATTTTGACCCGTCAACCGATGATTATTTTATGAGCAAAATATAATGTTATGTTGGTAAAATTGATGGTTTATATTCATCTAAATTCTTCTATCTTTCTCTACACTCAACTCCTTCTAGATACCCAATTTGGCAATACCAAATCAGCATTCTAGGAGTACTGGGGTGAATGCAGAGAGTTTAGAGGGTAAGACTATCAATTTTGTCAATAGAGCATCGTAAGTGTCCCGTGTTGTAACCTGACCTTAGTTTCCATTTTCCAAGGTCAAAAAAAATTAAGAATAATATTTTCAGACACAGTAATTGAATCACTAAAAATTAGTTCAATTTATATTTTATGTTTAAAAAACAAAAAAACAAATCCAGAGTTTTTGCTAGAGACATATTGTTTGGGTAGCGGCATATTTGTCTAATATAAATTTTTTTAACCCAAATTGAATAAATATTAATCATTAGTTAAATAAAATTATACTCCGTATTTCATATGAGTATACAATTTATTTCATTTGATTTGCCTGGCAAAAGACTATTAAGTTTAATTCATTATACTAATATGCAATGCAATTTTAATGTAATTAATTACGAAATATTAATGTTTATCAAGTTCGTTAGTTTGATTTTGAAAAATTACAATTAAAGAATATTTTGGAATGAATGGAGTATATATCAACATTTTATTTAATCTTGATATATAGTACGCCCAGTATGTTGTTGTAAAAGACTTTAAAGTTCTATTTATAATATCCGGAGTACAATACATGCAAACTATGAAAATCATAATACATATATATTGTATTACATATATATTGGATTTTTTAAAAGATTTGATATAAATTTCCCAAATTAAGCTTCATGTTTTTTTTTAAAAATTTAAGAGAGTAAAATTATACTCAGTATATTTGTTTGAGATTTATAAGAAGAGATTCATCATAATATTCCCCCCTCCTCATCTCACTCTTATATTCCCCTCTTTTCTAATCATTCCTCTCTTCTTTCCCCCTCCATATCATCTTATTCCTCCCTTCATTTCTCTCCGTTTGTGTTGCCATTAGGGACATAGTGTTATTATCTTTAAAAAAGAGTGATCTAAAATATTTCGTTCTAAAATAAATTTAAACCATTCATTTTTCCTTTAATCAAAGATTTTTTCTTTACTAATGTGATCAATGATTTTTTTACACGTGTAAGTGTGTAACAATTTATAATAAAAATATTCACAAAAATGTAATAATACAAAATCAAGAAAACATTAAAATTTCATTAACAAAAAGTACGTACAAATAAAACCTTATCCTACCATTGTAATCAATATAATATATTCATATTAAAACATTGTTAAACACTTGCATTCTGTATTTGATTTCGTAATTGCTCACCAAGCAACTATGGTTTTATTTCTGTTTTCTCCACACACTTTTCTTTCATGCTTCATAACCCAATCGAATTTCAAAACTCATATCACGTCTCCGAAGCTCACCAAACGGGTCACATTGACGACGTGGACTTGTCAATGATCGTGTACAAACCAATAAGCTATAAGGCAATACCCGAATCCAAGCACAGAAAGATAGAGAAACGTCCATTTCTTAAGGGCACAGATGAAGAGAGGAGCCGATAAGTTCATGAGGCCAATCACAGTTCGCATCACCGCCGTCTCCAAAGTGTTGCCAACCCCTTGCACCGCTTTAGGATACTCTTTCCTGGTCCAACCATAAGGCCCATCTATCACAAAGTAACTCCCATATATCACAATCAACACCACCACCCCAATTGTGCTCACTATTGATGACTTGAAGTGGTGCTCTCTACTCCCCCAAAAGTGGAAAAGGACCCACATACAGAACTGCAACAATAATAATACCGCTCAAAGTTTGTCCGGTTTGACTGGAAAAAAGTGAAACCCGGCTCGGGAGGGAGAAATATAATACTCCCTCCGTCGCAGTAAATAAAAACAGTAATGTATTTTAACATAAAAATGACTTTATTGAATTTACCGTATTGAGAACTTTCAAAATTGTATTTCATTATGCTAATATGCAATACAAATTGAGAGTAATTGGAGTTCAAACTTTATCCTGTTTGACTCAAAAAAAGTCAAATTGGACAAATATACTGGGACGGGGGTAGTACCTGGGAAATACAAATAAGAGCGCAAGAGATGAGAAACGTTGGTCTCCGGAGATTGCGAGGGACGACGAAGAGCATGACAATGGCAACGACCAGAGAACCAATTGAGGAACCAATGAGAGGGGTAAGGAATCGCTGGTAACTCCCAAAGTTCAGCGACTCCAAAATCATTGGCCCGTAAAACACCAGCTGCGACGATCCCATGAACTGAGCCAGCAGAAGGAAACCCGTCTTGTGCAGGAAGACACCTTTGTGTTGCCGTAACAAAACCATGCACGATTCCTCAGGATCGTTCACTTTGGTTCGGTTGAGAAAAAGTGATGCCAAGATTAACATGAATGCCGGAAATGCTACACTTGAAAACGTTACTCTCCAACCATTTGGCCAGTAACGGGAAACCAAATAGTTTACGAGTAATGCTGAGACGATTCCGAGATAATACGCAAGATTAAATACTTTGGCAATTTTCGAATGGACATCCTCGCGAGTTATTTGCTTATACAATAGAGGAACAGCCTGCAAAAAAAATTAATCTCCACGGTTAAAAAAAACAACAAAAGAAGCCAAAATAAGTCATTACATTACCTCTATGATGATGCCAATGCCAAGACCTATGACAAGGAAGAAAAGAGGCAAAGAAAGGCCATGGGGGTAAGCCAAGGCGGAGAGAGAGGCGGCGAGTACCCATGCAGCTCCTATTCTCATTTTCCCCTTTGGCCCCCAATAAATGCGTAAACATCTGCCCAAAATGAGTCCAGTTGTAGTCCCAAATGGGATTGAGGCTGAACACATTAACATGTAAGCGTTCAAGTAGCTGCAGAAGTTTGACACCACTGCCTTTGCTGCTTTTCTATACCCTTTCTTTCCCAATAACATTACCACAAAGTTTGGCATGTTAAGTAGACCACCTATAATAAATGTAATAGCAATTACAAGAAGTGGAACAATTAACTGATAATAAAATGAAATTGAAGAAGATGACTATGATATGATCATGCCTATGTTACCTACAAAAGTTTGTGAATATCCATATGCGAATCCCGCCATAACCGCTATTGGGTAACACAATATAACTTCTAGACGTCTATATTTTCAAATGGAAGGAAATAATATCGATCGAATTATTAGTTAATTATAAAATAAATTTCTTTTTGAGGGAATTATAAAATAAATATTGAAGTTGAATGAAACGCCTTATTAGCTTACGTATACTTCACATGAGATAATCGTTCTCTAGTAGTTTCTCCTGCGGGAATTATCATCGTCACGTCATCCTAAATAAATTAAAACATAGATTAATTATTTAAAAAATTTTAAAAAGTTAATCATTTTCCAGTATATTAAAGGGGAGATATTAAGGACAAAAAAGGAGGTACAAATATAATGTCATGTACCATTATTATTAATTATAGACCTAAAGCCTTGTTCAGATATTTTTTTAAAAAAAGAAGGATTAAAACTGCCCTTGGTAACTTTTTAAATATAATTTTCTTTCAGCGATGGTATGTTTTATTTTATAGGAGTATATATAAGTAGCCAGGGTGCATTATTAATTATTTGCGTGTGTGTTGCATATCTAGCTATGGAGTATTTGAATTGAAGTTTTACTCCACATAATTGTCCAATTAAACATTGCATGCATGCTACAAATTGAATACTGTATTTGTTTTCCATTTTATTTATTTACTCCTAATTTACCGTAGTATTTATGTACCCATTCATTTATTACATGCTACATATGAATATCATATCATATCTTTCAATTCAATAGTAAAATAGAACGAATGGTTAAGATGATGACAATTTAATTACAACCACATGCTTGCTACAAATACGATCAGGGTCCGTTTGGTACACGGAATTGACGGAATTGGAATTGAATTGAAATTAGAATTTTATACAATTGATGAATGTCTCTTGCAAACAGCCTCCCTACTTCCGAGCAGGGGCAAGGTCTGCGTACACACACCCTACCCAGACCCTACTGTTGTGGGATTCACCTGGGTTGTTGTTGTTGTTGTTGATGGATGGAATTGAATTCTCAATTTTCAATTCATTTTTTGCACTATCAATTCTAAAACTACATTTTTTTGTGTTATCAAACAGCAAAATTGGAATTGAAGTCTCCAATTTCATGATTTGAGTTCTGTATACCAAACGGAGCCTTATATTATGTACATAATTAGACGATTAATAATATCCCCCATTCCTATTAAAATGCATTATAAAACATAAATATTACGGAGTAATAATCAAAGTGTTGGATTATAAAATTAATCCTCACGCTCGCTGTCTCATATAGTACTTGTTCATATATTCTCAACAAATTAAAGCACATAGTGTTATTGACCCGATCGGGGTTCAAACCTGTGACTTTCCAATTTGAGACTGTCTACACCACAAGTGTTTGGACGTTTGAGCAAACGTATTTATGAAGATTGTGTACGCGTTTATTATTGAACTTTTTTTCTATGATTAAGTTCATTTGTGTATAGAACACTTTCATACTTGAGTTTTCATCCTTAATTCGTGAAAGGTGAACTTTATAGAAGGAAAATGAGGGCCAAACCTTGAAATAGGAATAATCTAAAAAATGAGGCCTCGTTCACAAGATATTTTAGGCTATGGTGAAATGTCAAGACATTGGAAATGAACTGTAACCACTGCACACACAAAAAAGTCATATTTAACAACTGCAAGTAAACAAAGCCAGAGCTATTCTTGATCAGAGAATGATCTTAGCTGTGGACAAGAGATGGTCCTTTGAACTATCCCTATCACATACATCTGAATATCTGGTGGCTGTGATTCACTAGTCCTATCAGAGTGTACCCTACAACTCTAATTTTCAACCTCCAAAGACTCCTACTAATGATCAACAACAACAAAACCAACAACGACAACCCATTAGAATCCCACGGGAGTAGCGTCTAGGAAGGGTGTGTGTACGCAGACGTTACCTCTACTCGAAAATAGAGAGGCTGCTCCCAAAAGACCCCCAGCTCAAGTAACACAAAGCACAAAGCACCGAGCAGGCTAGCGATATAATATAAAGCACACATTGACAAGAACAAAAACTACCAACATACCTCTATGATCATTAATCTCAGCATCAGATGGTTAAACCATCACTGGCAGCCCAAGAAGAGGCTGACCAGACAGTGCTATTGCCATGGGGACCGACAAGGCTCCATAAAATCACCACCACAACCACAACAATCATTCATGTGCCAATGCCGAGTCTGATTAAAGAGTATTACATATTTTTCTTCTCGATCTTGTTCATTTACCTATCAGTAACAGCTGAAAAAAATATGATTCCTTGATAAAAGACGTGAATATTAAATTTTGTTAATGGATGATATTCACCCGACACCTTTGGAGCATCCAGTACTGCGATCCATTAGTAGACGTACATAGAACCTGCAAATGTTATAGCAGAAAACACATTTGTATCACTTCAAGAACGTGAAATGCAAAACAGAGCTCCCATAGAGAGATGCTGACATTATTTATGCACCAATGGGGATTATGTGTGTTTGTGTAATGTACTGCATAGTATTAGTTTTAGAAGAAAATATCAGCCATTTCAAAATTGAATGCCAATGTTGCTTTTGCAGCCCAGTTTACATCTTTAATATTATAAGCCTTTTATGGGACATGGGAGAGAAGTTTAAGGTATCCTTCCTAAAGGCCTAAAAACAGAATGAGTGGCTTCTCAGCTTTACAAAAGAATTCATACACGTGTATTTCATCTGCTCTCAAAGAGAGCTGACAGAATTTCAGTATTGCAAGACAAAAAGGATGGTCAGCTTCTGGTCAATGAAAAGTTGGGATAGTGTATATAGGACATGCAGTAATCAGTTGGTTGCATCACCTGATATGCAAACAATGCTCATTGATCTTGATTAGGCTCTACCTCTGCTTCATCACCTTCTTCCTTCATCTCCTTACAACTCCTGTAAAAAAAGGAGTAAAATTTCAAAAAATGAATTATGGAAAGGAAAATGCTCCATCCTTAAAACTTAAAAGTACATGATGCTGATTGTCTAAATGCTTCAGCGATTAATATGGTTTTGAAAACATCAAAAGGCAGCAGTAAAATTTTCAACCTCTCAAGATATGCATGAACACAACCCATAACACAATCCTGCAGTAAACTTTAGAAAAGTTAAATCTAGGAATGTGATAAAGTAACATAGCTAAACCAGAAGCACACATTTTGAAACAAAAACCAACTCGGGGGAAGCTGCAATTATTAAGAAATGAAGAGTGAGGGGACAAATAATAAACAAATTTATACAATTTCAAATTTTGATTTATCAACGGGCTTTGCCACCATTTAAGAGTACCTACATTTTGGAACACCACAAGAAACCAAAAAAAGTAAATTTACTCATTTAACTATGAACATCTAAAGCACTCGTACAAGTACTCATACTAGGCACAATCAACTCAAAAAAGGAATTCTGTGAACAAAAAAAGCCATTGATATTGTGGCATAGCTTACTATGAACCTACAGAAACAAAAAATTGAAGTATAAAGTTAATGAACCCCTACCCCCCCCCACACACTATTCAGTCTATCCTTGTCCTATTCAATTGTCATGTGCATAAGCTTCAATAATTCACATTATGAAGGTACTCCGGTAAATAATTGTGAGCCTCACTTTCTTTCACTATCTCTTTCTCTTAACTCACTCTCTGTATCATTTTATCTAGCCTCACTTTCTTTCACTATGACTCAGGGTCCTTTCCTGCTCCCGCTCCCTTTCCCCCTCTTTCTCTATTCCATATTCATGGTAATGTTCTCTGTCTCTACATGTGTGCTTTTCTCTGTTGCCTTTGTGGCTATTGTAATCAACCTTTTCTGTAGAAGATGAATGTTGAGCCGAGCGCTTGTTCTTGTTGTGATCACGAGGCTCAACAGCTGGCCATCGATGGTCCAATTCATCATCTCTGCTATCACACATGAGCTGTGAAACCTTTTCGCCTTCTGCATGTTTTGATTCCTTATTGTGTTGAACTCCCTGATCTATCCTTTTCAACAATGCAGGACACGTAACTACGAGAATGGTGAACATAGTAGCAGTCGGCTACATCAGGAAGAGGTGTATGACTATGAATAGCTGTTATTGATGCTTAATCAGTAGCAAAAGTTTGGAGTGATATCTATTTGAAAAAATCTACTTGTACCCTAAAGATTGTACCCCCAAATGTAACCCAAAGGTTTACACTTCCATTTGTGTCAATGTAAGTCCGAGATTGATGACTTACATTGACACAATTATCACTGCAAATACTTGCAATCGGACTGACATTTTGTGTCAATAAGCCATCAAAATCTAAGTGTAAACCTTTAGGGTATATTTTGGGGTACAATCTTTGGGTACACCTAGCATGTTTGAATCTATTTTAGCTGCATCGGTAGATTCTTCATTCATAAAATTGATACTTTTCCAACTAGGATGGTATGATATCTTGCAATTACCCATTAAAGACAACAAAAAAGTGAACAAAATTCACATTTTGTTTATGCTTCATAACATGTATAAACATTTTCAGAGCCCTTAATAAATACTCATAATTTCATCTCACACAAAATTCTCGTCCTCTCGAACTCAAGTATTAGTACAAACAACTCAGTGCATTCTTGACAAATCACAATTATTATACAGGGTAAGGAGCAATGCGATAGTGTGCAGCGCCATACAGATGAAAAACAAATTGAAACTCGAAAGTTCAAATATTAAAATGAATTGACGCTTACAGAATACAGAAATGGCGAAGGAAGTAGGATTGAGCTGAAGAATGTAGGCCTCTAAGCCTGTAATGGAGAATTTTAATCCGAGCAGAATCCATCCTTTACGAAGGTATATTGTTAAAAAAGAAGGCCAAGCGCGCCCGCCTGGTCTTCGTCCTGCGCTGATAAATGTTCTTGGTTCAAGGCTCGAGATTTGTGTGGGCTTGTCTAACGGACTCCCATTGGACTCCTTCAAATTCATGATTTTATTACGGCAAATAGCACTAGTATCCCACTTGTTTGGAAAAAATTAACATATACTATATCTGTACGTCACAAATTAACAATTTTTATTTTTTTATAAAATGAAAAAATAAAAACTTATTTTGAGAACTTCAAAAATGAGGAATAAAATAAGAAAAAAATAAAACAAAAAATAAAAATGAATATTGTTATTGGACATTCTAATTCTTAGCATTTTTTTAGGCGTTCTGAAAATTTATTTTTGTAAAAGACTCTTCTTTAGATGTTTCAATTTTTTCATTTCTATTTTCCATTTTGATGTTTTTATTTTTATTTTCTTTTTGAACTTACCAAAAACAATATTCTAGAAAATAAAAAGTTAAAATGTTTAATTTGAGATAGATGGAGTATGTGTTTTTTTTCAAACACAAAGAACTTTAAATTTTTAAAAACATTATAAATAATTTAAAATAAATTTAAAAAACTTTTCTATGAAATTAATGGAAACAAAGAGATAAAAAAGTAAAAAATATTAAAAAACAAAGTAACAAATGAAAAATAAGAAATGAGCCACGTAAGCCCCCGAAGGTTTAAAAGTTAGACATCAATGTCCCTCTTCATCGGAAAATGGTCTGAGAGGGTGTGGGTGAAACGTTCTAAAACCACGAGAACTTTAGAAATAAGTTTTAAAAACAGAGGGGGTATTGATGCCAAATTTTCAAACCACAGAGGGCACTAGAGCTATTTGGTCATTTTATTACTACAATAAGGTTTAAATTTATAACAGTATTCTGGTCTTTTGTAAAAGATGATTTTTTATATTTAGTCATCTATTATTAATTAATATGTTTATGTTCTTTTTTATGGGTACTTTTTCACGGATAGTCTTTTTTGGTCGTTTGTCATGTTCATGTTAAACTAAAGCCAAAAGTGTAATTTTATATCAATCTTATATCTAGCGATATATTCTGATGTCGGCTTGACATACGATACAATAATAATAACTATGATTGTGGAGTTGGATTCTAACCAGATACGACATCCATAGATCAGAGTATGGTTGGAGTAAAAAGTGATTTGAGTTGAAAAGCGACGACACATCTACAATGACCTCTACATTGGCTAGAAAAATATATGATCATTATGAAATTATGCTTTTAACCATCAACTTATTAACACTAACATCATAGAATATCAAAAAAGGATTATTTGTGAAAAGATACTCATAGAAGAATGACTAGAGACGAAATATTTGATAATAGATGATTGAATATGGAAAATATTTGTTATAAAAGACCAAATATAGAGTTTACTCTTAAATTTATGAATTCATTACTCATCCGTTTTAATTTAAATTATCTATTGTTGTTTATAAGGTTTGACTGAAATTGTTTTTTCAATTTATTTAAAAAGTGGTATGAAACTAAAAAATTAAATTAATATCTTTAAAAATTGTATCGAAAGTTCAAAAAATAAAGGTGAGAAAGTACTCCATTCGTTCTTGAAAACATTTCTCATTTTAACCAAGTGTCAAAATAAGGAAGTGTTAAATTGTAATTGACTTCCAATTTTACCCTTGATGTGATGAGTAAAAGTAAGATGAAATAGATACGCTATTAGGAAAAAAATATGCATGATGTCATATGTAGAGTAAGAAAAAGTAAGGATAAAAGTAGTTTTTTAATAGAAAGTGAAAGTGTTTTGGTGGAAGAGAAAAAAATAAATGAAAGAGAAATTGCTTTGGAGACCGGAGGGAGTATATTTTTAAGAAATATTTGCAGTTAATAGCACTAAAAGTTAAGTCATTTCTCTAAATAACACTTAAACTATTTTATTCCCTAAATAGCACTTAATAATGTCCATAATGTCCAGTGATGGCAAATATTTACTTGAATAATGACTAATGTATAATGACTAAAAGTGCTACATTAGGAAGAAAAGCACATGTAGTGCTATTTAGGGAAAGTCATTATGTTTTAGTAATATTTAGGTAAATTCCTCTATTTTTAAATGACTAGTAAAAATGAATAAAAAATGTGGTTAAAGTTTGACATCGTGAATATGAAATAAGTAACTTAAATAATTAGGACTAAGGGGGTACTACTTTGCTAGATATTTTGTTACTACTATAAGGTTTTAAATCTAGGACAATAATGTAAAATTCAGCCTCCAAATCGTTATATCCACACATCTCATATAATTTTAATAAATTCGCACATATTAATATAAATTTGATATTAGTATTTAGCAAAATTAATTAAGAAGTGTGAATATAATCATTTAAGGACTGTCGTAGTACTCACTCCATTGGGAAAAAACATGGGTTTAAAAAAGACTTTGAGGTATTCACTTTTAAATTTATATATAAGCATTTTCCTAACCAAGTATTAAATGTTAAATTATTTGTTTTGCTTTGATTTTAATGTCTATAGTGTTAATATAGAACGTATTATATATATTTTCAAAAATTAATTTAAAGATATTACATTATTGAAGATAAATTAGTGAATGAACCAATTTTCTTTCGACCCCATGCGTCGCACAGATTAAAATACCAGTGGATTTAAATAGATTACACTTTTTTGGTTAGGAGATTGAGAGTTAGTTACCTCTAGTATAATAAAAAGGCAATGAATGAATAAAAAAGGGGCGGCCGACGCACGAGTGCACACTGGCATATGAGATGTGGGATAATTGTTTGTTTGGCATGAAAGAGAAAGAGGGGCCAAAGAAAGAAATAGGAGTAATAAATGCATGGTGCTGTGGTGTGGTGTGATGGATAACCTAGACGGAACCTGTTGCTTTCCTTACTCCAATTAAGGACGACAAGACTTTCTGTGATGGATGGCCGGCCAATAAGCTGCTGCTCCGATCCTCACATTTTAAATGCTCCTCCTCCTTTTTTTCTACATACTCGTATAAAAGAAAATAAATATAAGTGGCTTGTAAAATTTCTTTATTTATTCATTTCTTTGAAGATTTCCTATCTGTTTTTGAAAACAATTTCTATATTGACTTTGGGCGAAAATAAGAAAGAATTATCTGAAATAAAGTTTCTAATTTTGTCCTTGATGTAATTAGTAAAAGTAACGTGATAGTTAGGATACAAGTACTATTTTAATAGAAATTGAAAATGTTTTGGTGAAAGAAAAAAAAACAAAAGAGAAAATGTTTTGGAAAACGAAAGTACATTTTCTCTACTCTTTAATAGCCTTTTTCAATTTCATAAAATCAAAATTATGAGTTTTAATTATCATCAAGTTCTTCAGGTATATGGATGATCGATCGAGAGGTAGAACTACGTACGTACAATGCAAGTGCCCATTATTATATATCCCCAAGCTACGCTCCGGCCTCTTTTGGTGGTTGAGTTCAATGAGTTATGATAAGGATAGATCTCATAAAGACTCTCTATATATATATATATATATAGGGGCCGGTTCCCGTGAGAATGCACCTTGTGAAGAGAAATGAGAATAAAATCTAGCCGTCGGATCTGATGCATCGTGCAACTCAGATTGCATCCTGCGCTCAGATTTTGAGATACTGCATTTTCGAAGGTTTATGGTGCATTTCGACGTGATGCATTTTCGCACCATTTTGGTGCATCTAATTTTGATGAAATCTTGACCCTTAGATCTCGCAATTTAAAGCACCAGATTCATTCTCATTTCTCTCCTAAGATTGCATTCTCACCAGAACCAATATATATATATATATATATATATATATATATATATATATATATATATATATATGTATATATATATATGTATATACGTATATATATATGTATATATATATATATGTGTGTGTGTGTGTGTGTATATGTGTGTGTGTGTGTGTGTATATATATATATATATATATATATATATATATATATATATATATATATATATATATATATATATATATATATACAGAGTATATAACAATGTTCCAAAAAAATTAGAGTATCTCCAATACATAGGGTACATTGTGGTAGTGTAAAATCTAATTTATAATATCAATGATTTTTTTACACATTTACTTACGGAGTATTTATACTCAGCTCACTCCAACCAAATCTCTACCCCGGAGTGTGTGTGCGCGCGCGCGCGTGT